AGTTTGGCAACTTTGGGTGGGCTATACTTTACACATGCCTGGTTTATAAAGGAGGAATTCAGCAGCATATCTGTGTAAGAACAGTTTCCAGTTAGAGACTGAAAGTAGATCTTTGTGCCATGGATAAACCCAATTGGACTTAGATAATTTCTGAGCAACAACTTGGTAAGCATCAGAGTGCTGTCCCATAGACTTTAAAAAGTAAGAGAAAATATAGTTAAAAACACAACTTGAATGCTAATTTCTTGTTTTGCTGTGTGAAGAAGCACTTCACACAGTAAAACAAAAGCAGCATTTGCATGGAAATAGCACTGACTTGGGTAATTAGTACTAATTTGTATATGCATAAAAATAGCACCAACTTTACCTATGCTACTCTCTCTAAGTGTGTGTAATGTTTATCTCCTTTTCATCTCAAATCTTGGCTGGTATATGAGAGTTATATGGGAGGAGTTATATGAGAGGAACGGGAAACTTCATGGAATCAAGGAACTATTTTTCTGCCCCATAGCCTTCCTGTTAGCCTCATGCTATTGGGTGCCCCGGAAAAGTTTATGGAAAAAAATAGCCATGTTAGTGCTATGGAGTATCAAATGAGTCAAGTTTAGCTAAATTTCACCCATATAGTTAATATGGGTCAAGTTTAACTACAAAACAATCTAAATCTGGGTGTTTTAGTACTTTGTAGGATTAATATCACCGTTATTTTTTTATTTTATTTTTTGTTTACCTTTTTGGGGGGTGAAGGGAGGTGCACATCTGGTCCACAGGTTGGATGTAGCTCACTGCTGCTTTAGTCCATGTGAAACACTTTGTCTTAGTGATCCTTATAACAGTTCTTCAAGTATTATCATCTCCATACTGGAGATGAGATTGAGGCTTAAAACTGACTCAGTTCACAACAAGTTGTTCTCCAGATGTTTTGGACTATAGCTTCCATAATCCCGGATAATTGGCCAGACTGGCTAGGACTGATTGGCCAGGTTGATCTAAAATATCACAGTTCCTCAGATTCTTACCTACTTGGAAACCCTAATCAAAGCACACTTCTTTGCAAAGTGTTGGTTTTGAACCACCAGCCCTATTTGTCTCTCATTATTTGTTACCATTAAGTCTCCTTCACTTGAACCCACTAGTTATTCATTAGCCTTTGTCTCCCTCTTGTGATTTCAACATATTGTCTTAGGCCAGAGATAGGCAACCTGGTATCCTTTAGTATTTGGAGTTAAAACTCCTAGTAGTCCCCACTAGCATAGCTAATGGTCACAGCTTATGGGAGTTGTAGACTAAAACATTTGCTGGACACTAGATTTCCTGCTCTTATCCTAGGCTGTAATTATATAGACTTATTTGAAATCAGTGGGCAAAGAGCACTTACAAAAATATTACTTCAAATGGTTGATTTTTTGGTAATAAAAATGACATATAAATATATATTTAAAACCTGGAATTAGACTTGTTATATAACTAGAGTTGTGGCTGCTGGCCCATCTACAACAACATAATAGATCTGTTTTGAAACGAGTTCAGTTATTTCTTTCTATAGACTTACCTTATTTGCTCTTTTCTTGTTAGGCAGAAAGAAAGCAAAGCACAGGTGTCCTATTTTTCATTCTCCTTTATAGCTCGCTGGTCTGATGATGATAGATGATATGCATATAGAAATAATCAATTTCTCAAATCATCCTGTTAATGTATGTAACTTTACAATTTATGCATAGTTGTGTCTCTGCATTTTAAACCCACAAAAATACCAATAAAGAATATTTCCTAGAGCCAATTCTGCTTTGTTTGTAATCTCATTTCAAGAAAATTGGCTCTTCTGAACTGCTGTTATGTCTTTTTAGTTTTGGTGTGATCCTTACAGTGAGCATAACTAATAAAAAGAGAGGGAAGGTATGTAGATCTGACCACAATAATCAATGCCTTAATTATTTTGGGTTTAGTTTACAGTAATACACTCTATGTGGGGCTGCCGTTGAAGACTGTTTGGAAACTTCAGCTAGTGCAAAACATGGCGGCAGACTTTTGTAAGGTCTGCATTTTATAGATTACCAGTCTCAAAACAGCTTCACTGGTTTCCCATTGTTTCTGTGCTCAGTTCAAAGTACTGTTTGTTTCCTAGGCAGCCCTAAATGGCTTGATTGTCAGAAGATCAGAAAAATACATTTCTTCCTTTAAGAATATGTCTGAAATTTGCATGCATCATCTTGGACTTTGTTGATGTCCCACCTTCTTGCTGTTAGTGAATGCTTAGGGCAGGAGTCTTCAAACTTTTTCACCAGGGGGCCAGTTGAAAGGTGCCAGTGCTGGGCGGGGGCTAGAAAGGCGGTGCCGGCGGGTGGTGTGGGCTGCCGCGGGATGGGGGCGGGGTGCCTGGGCGCGCTGGGGCGGGCGAGGGGAGGGGAGGCAAGGCGGGGTCGGGCATGTGCCACGATGCAGCAGCTGGTGCACTTGGAGATGGTTTTCTCCGAGCAAGTCCAAAAGGATTTCCTCACGAGCAAACCTCCGCCTCCCCGTGTGGGAGGCGAGGCGGGCAGCGGCATGCATGGCATGCACGTAGCGCATTGAAAACCTCTGAGATGTGCCGGATAAATGGCCATGGCAGGCCAGATCCGTTGCCCAGGCCGTAGTTTGAGGACCCATGGCTTAGGGCCTTTGGGTAGCAGCAACCCTGTTGTGGAATGTCCCCAAGGAGGTTAAGGAAGACTCCTGCTCAGTGTCCTTTACGTGTCTGGTGAAGAATATACTGTTCCACTGGTTGTTTGAATAGTTAATGCCACACTCTATTTTTATAAAGATCCCTTGATTTTAAAATACTGTAGTATCTGTATGCATTTTATTGTACATCACTTCTAGCATTCATTGAGTTGATGGCGGTCCAAAAATATTTTAAATAAATAGATAAAGCAAATGCCACTTGAACCATACATTTTTGGAATTTGTTTTCCTATACAGTACTTAGGTTTTGATTCTGTCAGAACACTCAGTCATATGGGAGATTTTGAAGGGTCACTTATGTTGAAAAAGAGGAAATGCTATATAGTGTGACTAAGCACAAGTATAGAGAAAAGATCTTTCGCTGCACTCTCCCTCTCTGCCCAATTTTATATTCTGAACAGTTTTGCAGGATTTCAGACTTCATAGTACAATCTGGATGGATACCATTGCATTCAAAATAATTGAAGTGTTCTGTTTCTCTGTGTTTTTTTTTTAAGTGCTAGGCTAACATGTCTGAAAACAGATTGGTCATCTGAGAAATATATTGCTGAGTATTGTATGCTGGTTGAATGTACACATACCTTGTAAAGCCTGTTGTTAGCTGAAGAGTAGGTGCTTTGTGTGGCGCCATGTTTCTTTCTGGATAGCAGAATTAAATGATAGATTTGCAGTAGACTGGCAAGGGTTTCTTGACAACAACAGAGCAAGCTTTTCCCCTTCTAAATCAGGGTTTTAGAGTCTGTAAATAGATTAAAAAAACCTTTATTGCAGTCAAAGACCAGTTGCATTCAATAAATACATAGATTTAAAAAAAGAAGAAAATACATAAAAGATTGTCTATATTAAAACTCCAGTCAGATTAATAAATACTTTGACACAATATTAGTTCCCTTAAATCAGTGACAAAGCCATACTTTGTCCTTGTCCAACTAGGTAGAGCCACACTTCCTCAGGATCTGTCTTCAGACACCCATGGCAGCCGCAAAGAATTTAGCGACACTGTATGTTGTTGTTGGGTTAGTGTCAGACAGCAATATATAGATATATTGTTGTTCTGTACGGCCCGGGAAACGATTAGTCAGTGGGGAAATGAGTGCAGTGCGAATATCTCTGTAGAATGTGCACCTCAACAGGACATGCTCTGTAGTTTCTATCTGTTCCATACCACAGGGGCAAATGTGCTCTGACCAGGGGATCTTTTTGTGTCGTCCCTCCAAAACTGCCAAGGGGAGTCTGTTGAGCTGGGCCAAGGTCAAAGCCCTTCTGTGTTTATGGACTTCCAACTGTTTGAGATAGGATGCAACTATTACAATGTGTCCATAGTCCTCCCTAAGATAGAATTCAGGGGCTCTATTGCGATCACTTTGTCTTTCAATGTTTGCTATGTGCTGCTTGATAGTTTCTGTTGCCTGTTCAAAGTCCATATTTAGTACAGTCTGCAGGAGAAGGCCCAAGAGGGGTTAGAGTCTATAAAATGTAGTAACTTGGGCATAGATTTTCACTTGTCCATATGGCTCATGGGATAGAATAGATTATTGGCTCTGCAACCTCAGTAAGATGGTGCACCTGGTTCCCATTGGTGGATTCAGGGTTCTAGTTAAAAACAAAGTAGAACTCTGAAGTCAGCTCATACCCACTGTAAATACTTCTTGTTTCATGGAATGACTACAGAGAAAAGATTACTATAGCCTTCGCCAATTTGGTACCTGCCAGATGTTTTTGATTTCCACTCCTGTCATTCCTAATGAGTATGGACAGCTGTCAGAATTCTTGTGAGTTGTGATCCAAAAAGTCTAGAGGGCAGCAATTAAGGGAAGGCTGCTTACTTGATGTTAGAAGCATTCATTATCTTCCTACTATCTCAATGCTAATTCTCTTCAAATGTTGTATCCTAGGCTTTTAAAACATTTTTTCAATTCTTTGTGTAATAACTTTCGAAAGGTTGTGACTGATTGTCCCAATTAGAGTATCAAACTTATGGGATTGCTTTTAGGTAATTTTTCAAAAACGTCCTGCAATTCCAATTTAAAACTATTTTCCTCAAGTTTTGTCCTTTCTCCTGTGTTCCCTATGGCTAAAGAGTGTCAAAGGTACATGATTGATTTCTTCTAAATATTTCCTGTGTGTCTTTATCTTGAAATAATTTAGGAGTTCTGACAAAAAAGTTTTCTAAAACTATGAGATACCTGTGAGAAGAGGTGTTTTGACAACAGTAGATTGTTACTACTATTTTGAATTCTTTCTGTTGAAGCGTTTTATTGTTGTTGCTTTCCCTTCAGGTTTAAAGAACCCAAAGCCAAACAGTGAATAACAAAAGACATGATGATCGTAGGGACTGGAGTTGCTTCAGTGCCTGAGCTGGGCTCCTCAGCTAGCACTCCTGTTACAGCTTCCAACTTATCCTGGCTGCCGGAGGATGGCAGCCCCACTGTTATGGAGCAACCAATATTTCTGATGACCACAGCTGCTCAAGCCATCTCAGGTTTCTTTGTGTGGACAGCACTGCTAATCACCTGCCATCAGGTAAAAAACAAAACAAAGTCTCTTTATTATTTTGAATTCACTCTATAAAGACACCTTTCTCTGCTCCCCATGAAGTAGGAGTTAGGCACCTTCAACTGCGACAAAAAGGGAAGAAAAAACTCATGCACTGGAATGGTGCTCTGTGCTCATTCTCATATTGCCAGCTTTGCTTTGTCATATTTTGCATCTCTCTCTGCAGGAGATGCCTTTGAGATAATTATCCTTAAAAAAACAATATGTGAAGCTGCTGTGATCAGTATTTCAAGAGCAGAGTAGGAAGTTATGAGATGTGGAGTAGATTAAGCTGGTTTGTTGAAATGTAGCCCAGAATGCAAACTATTAAACTTACTAGGTTGAATGCATCATGTCAGGATTGTTGTAGCCTTACCTGTTCTGCCTTATAGCAACCTTGGCCATGTTGTATGGATGGAACTTGTTGCCCAGAGTGGTTGCTGTTATATCGAGGCTTAGCTCAATCTGCTTTTAGCTTCAAGCCCTATCCATTTGTATAGTTTATATCCCACAGCAGATATGAGCTACTTCCAACTATATTTCCACACCTAACATTATGCTTTCAATCACACCCCCTAGTACTACATTGAAGAAGAGGAAGGAACTTTTATTTGCATTATGGAAATTTATTGGAGGGCCATAAAGTAGGCATTTGCAATGGCAAGATGGCTGTGTTTTCAATAGACTTTTGAGCATGGAAATGAAATGGCTAAAAATAGCAAGACTGCTGAAAGAAAATAGGACTTTGATGCTCTGGTCAGTTGTGCATGTGAGAGAACAAACCACAGAGCTATGCAGATGGTACCAGTGTGTACCTAAGACTATAGCTGGCAGGCAGCTGCCCACAAATTAGTTTCCTCAGCTTGTCATCAAACTTACAGTGCCTGTGTTTTACCTAACAGTCTAGGCAGTAACATGTAGGGAAAAAGAGGGCAATGTCAAAGATATGGAAGATCAAGTTTGTCTCCTGTCAACCTGCAAACACTGTTAAACTGATTGCCATGATAGGCCCTGGGCCTTTATTCCAGAAACCTAAGTTGTATTCAGTTCATCTTCAGCAGTATGTTAGTAATGCACTTCCCTTGTAGCATTGCAGTTGGCTAGCTGAGAAATATTGCACATTTAATTAAAGTGAGTGGAAAAAAGGGCATGTGGATGTTAATGATGGTGACAACGAGCCATGATTCTTGATATTTAATAATCCTTGGCGTTTTTCCAAGTTTGTACTACTGCCCATTCTTAGTGCATAGAATAAGCATCATGTTTTTTAATAATAATACCAGTGATGATCAACTCTCTGTACAAATGACTTAAGTAAATCTAGTTATTCATTTATGAATCAGAATAGCACTTTACCTTATATTTACTCAGGCAGTGGTGATACCTTTTGTCAATTCTGCTACATCAGAACATTAATTGGTCACTTATTACATGCCCATCATGCTAGTCCTGTTGGTTGTGTAGCCAAGTCACTGGTTTTTGGAGTGTAAGAGAGGGAAGATGTTCCTTTTTCACTGTCTCTATGTTGTAATGGAACTCACTATCCAAGACATAGTCATAGGCACTGGTTTAGATGGAATTAAAACAGGGAAAAATTAGGGAGAACTGCAACTCCCATTAGCTCTAGCTAGCATAGCACATGATGAGAGATGATGAAAATTGTTGTCTAACATCACAAGGGTCACAAGTTGCCCATCTGTTGTAGATTATATCTTTTTATTATTTATAACATGTATATGCTACCTCTCATCCCATGTAATCTAGGGGTAGGTTACAACACTCACAGAAAAACAAATACAGTTTTAAAAGCAAAAAATAAAAATCAACGAATTAGTCAAAGGCCTGCTGAAAAACATAATGAGAATCTAGGTAAAAGGTAGAGTTGCTACTACTGTGTTTACTTTTAACTTTTGGATATGCTAAAGACAATCAAAAAGGCTGTTGTCTTTGTGTCTTGCATGCAAGCTTCTGAGAAGCATTTTGCTGGCCTCTTTTGGAAACTAGATTAAACTTTGGTCTGATGTAGTAGAAATCCTCTCCCCACCCCCTTTCTTTCTTGTAACAAAATTATAAATAGGTAGATATGAATGTTCAGCTTGTAATGACAATAGAACAAACCCTGGCTTTGGGGGACACAAGACAAGTCAGAATTCCTAGTTCAGACATCAAGCTAATTAAACTAAGGATGGGGAGTCCCTGATTTGTTTAGCTGTTCCTGGTAGGTGGCCTCAAGTGGGAATCGTTGAATCACATGTGTCCTCTTGCTGCCCTTCTCATAGTAGGCATGATACACAACTGCTTTTGTGATCTGATTCTTACCCCATCTCCATCTTCTCTCATCCAGATCTACATGCACCTACGCTGCTACAGTTGCCCCAATGAGCAACGCTATATTGTCCGGATCCTTTTCATTGTGCCCATTTATGCTGTTGACTCTTGGCTCAGCCTCCTTTTCTTCACCAATGACCAGTACTATGTTTACTTTGGCACCGTGCGAGATTGCTATGAAGGTGAGATGTTGGAGCATATGGGAACAGGGAAGGGGGGAAGTGGGTATTTTGTATGTGAGCCTAGAGCTGTAGGAAAGAATTACTTTTATGCAACTGCTTCACAGATCATGACCCAGCTAAAAATGATGTTGGCCTATTATAATGGAGAAGTAACAAGTTAAACAAGGACGTCTACAACAGCAATCTAAGAGGGAGGGGATGCCAGGGTTTTGGCTATAGTAACTGTTCATCACAGCCGAAAAAGGATCTAGATCAAAATGGATAGGTCACAGTTGAACAAAGGCAACATTTGCTTTTGAATTTGTGGGCATTTTCCCAAACAGGATAAGAAGGTAGTTCAGTATTGTCACAGAATTCAGTAGTGCAGTGATGAGAGCTCAAGAGGATACAGTGAGGCAAGGCTCCTTTGGTTCTGGTGATTCATGTAATATGATGCCAATGATTTTTCATTGAATAATAAAGGAGGAGGTATGACTAAGTTTTCTGAGCAGACTACAACTAAATCAGCTCTTCTAGCTGGGAATTTGTGGGATATCTGAGACTGCAGCCAATAAATAATCTCAGAAGGGATCAGTTTTGTAGCCATTGATCCCAGATATTGCAACCTGACTTGCCAGAGTTGAGGCAGAAGTCTCAGTAAAACCTTTTAATTCCAGTAACTACCTGTAAGCCTTTACAGTCTCAATGAAGATACATATTTAACAGATGACACAGTATTTCCTTGATAGGAATAAGTTCATGAGCATCATGACAAAAATCCCAATCATTCTTGTGTTCAGTTCATAGAATATGACCCAATTAGTTGACAATTCCAGGAAGCATGAAGTCTTTCAGGTAACCAGTATTTTGCTTCCAGCAAAATTGCTCTGGCTTAAATACAGGGAAATTGCCATTGAAAAACACTTCTGGACATTTTATCTGGATAGGGAAAATTGTCTCCAAGGCAGTTGCTGTGTCTCAGCAGATGCCTCTGCCTCACCCTCTTTAGTTGACAACACACCAAAAGGGACACCCCAACCACTTTCCTGCAGAGACCTCTACCCACTTCCCTGTTCCCATGAAAGATGCCCTGGTGAAGAAACAGACCCCCAAGATAGGACCTTCCATGGGAGGTGATTGAGGCACCACCAGTGAGGGTGTACAAGAAAAGATTGGACAACCACATGTTGGGGATTACATGAGCAGAGCTGACTGGAGCTGGGGGTCAGACTAGATGGCCCAGGCGACCCCTTCTGATTCACTTGGTTTTTGTTTCTATGGTATAGGCCAGGGGTCGGCAACCTGCAGCTCTGGAGCCACATGTGGCTCTTGAATGCCTCTGCTGCTGCTCCGTTGCTTGCATCACAGCCGCCGCCGATCCATGGCCTGTGCCGGCCAATCCGTGGCTGCCGCCGGCTGATCTGTGGCTGGCATGGTGGCGGCCGCCAATCCGCGGCCTGTGCCGGCCGATCCGCGGCCCGTGCTGGCACAGCGCTTGGATAAATCGAAGAAAAGAAAAGTTTCTGAAGAAAACCAAACGTTTAATGATACTTGGGCAGATTCATTTGCTTTTACTGCTGACGTACTTATGGGGTTTGCTGTTTAATGCATGCAGCCCTTTAGCACTGACTTTGGCTCTTCAGGAAACTGTTCTCCTATTCAAAATATATGAAAGAAGTCCTACTAGTTTATAATGTAAGATTAAAAATAACAGTTTTTAGTGACTGAACAAGAGCTGCAGCTAAATCATAAGGAAGATATACATAGCATTAAGGTAAAAAACGATATATGCAGTGTTACCTTCATTTTAGATGTCAAAAGGGTTTTGCGGCTCCTGGTGTTTTCTTTTGTGTGGGGAATGGGTCCAAATGGCTCTTTGAGTGTTAAAGGTTGCTGACCCCTGGTATAGGCCGTATGAGCATCCTGCATCTAACCCCTTCCCTTTGGGAGGTCTGGTAAAACTTAATCATCTGGCTTCGCACACCTAGGCCTGATTCTACAACTCCCCGCTCTGATTCCAAATCAGTGTCACAATCTGTACTTCCCTCCAGACTGGGGAAGATCCCACACCAGAATGTTAAAAGTAGGAAGTATATAAAATAAATTTTATGGACCTCTGTGATGCCTTGGGTCACTGTAAATATTATCCTAAATACAACAAAAGAGTTTCTTAAATTAGGCTGATTGTGGTTTAATTCATGCAAATCCTACAGTTTTTCAGATGGGAATATTTGTGAATGATCTCATGTTCATGACCATAAGACCCATTCCAAGACCAGGCAATACATGACAAGTTTTTCTCTTTCTAAACTGTGTCTGAAACAGTACAGAGAAACTCCTAACTGGAAAAGTACAGATATATTAATTACAGAGGTCCTTTACCATCAGTTGGAAAAGGACATCAGCATGGTGTTCTTGTTTTAAATAAATGGGGAAAGCAATCTTTTTCTGGATCCTCAACTAAAATGCACTGGCTCAGATGAATAGATATTCTCTTTCTACAGGACTTACTGTCTGCTGTTGTTTGTTTGTGGTTTTTTATATGCTTGTTTTGGGACAAGCAGTATCAATGGTCAGCACAGGCATGCAGTTGCTGTTAGGCCACAGGCTGAAAAGGGTCCCTCAGTACTTGAACCTGCCACAGTTGCCACCAGCCTTCTTGTCACTCTTGTACCCAGCTAGAGTTGCCACAGACAAGGTTGTAAGCCCCATGGCAGCCTATGTTAAAACAAACAAGCCCCTCCCCCCCCAAAGGCAGACTGGTTGAGGGCTTGCGTAAGCAGGTGAGCAGCTTGGGTAGGCAATGGTGGGGGGGTGGGGGGGTGTCATTTAACAACACTGTGCTAATGGCTCACTACAGCCCCAGAAACACTTAGTAGACCTCAGCTTGCTTGATTTTCATGGCTGTATCCTCCATTACACCTCATCTTATATGAGGACAATGAATTAATTTCTATGTAGAAGGGTCTTGGCACATGAACAGCTTAATCTGCATGAAGGATCAGCAGGGTGCTTCACGCCTGTGACAATGCATGGGGATGTGATAACAGATGGCAGTTGTGTGTGCACACAATCCAGAGACCATCTTTGGTTGGCCTGGTTTCCCCATTCCTCTACCCTCACTGTGTATGTATACAAAGGCGTAGCAGGAAGCCTGCTGCTCTGTGAAACTCATTTCCTAGCAACAGCTATTATCCCCATTACCTCGCCTAGGGAGTTTGCAAACATCACATCTGCTTAGAGGGTCCGCCTACATACTAAAGTTTGTTGGCTTGTCCAGCTGGTTGGCCTATATACCGATGGGTGCTAGGGTTTTTTGCTTTTCCTCCCCTCTTGTGCTATCTTTATTTAAAAAACAAAACAAAACAAAAAGTTCCAAAACTGAGCATAGGAAAAGATGGAAACAGGAAAGAGTAGGAATCTGTCTTTGTTTCAACAGTGGTTTTTCCCTTCAGAAAGACTGCCCATAGAAAAAATTTAATGGAAATATCCACTATATAACCTTATATTTATTGTTGCACAGAGCAATAAATTTATTGTGTGTACAATTTTGCACTTCCCCCTTTTTCTATTGAATTTTTGAAACATGTAGAAATCTATTGCATTTAGTGATTTTTGAATGTTTAAGCAGTAATCCTGATTGATTGTTCAAATATCATCTTAAACTAGAAAGGATGGCAATATTCTTCAGTGGGACTTGCATTGAATGGAATTGTAGCATTAAATACATATCTGAGATATGTAAGGGAGTAGCTTTTTCTCCTACTAAACTAGGCTCTGAATGAGCAGCTTCTGCAGTAATTAATCCTTCCTGTGTTAGAAGGAAGACAAGGAAGTTCCCTGGAAAGCATTGCACCTTGGTTCTTCCACAAAAGAACTAAGCTTATTTGGTTGATATCTAGAAAAGCAGGAGATTGCTAGACTAGACCAAGTCTTTTCTTGCTGAGAAGTCAGTATGTAATCCAGGGTGGAGAACCTCAGGCCTGGGGGGTCAAATTTGGCTCTACTGTGATCCCAGTCCAGCCCTCCAGAGTTGCCCAGATAGACATGCCCCCTTTCCTGATCCTGTTTTTTCTCATAACTTTTCTGGCTTTGGTGCACTTTCTGCCCTATTCTAAAGATTGAAATGACCCTCTTTAGGCTTAGTTACTGGCTGCAACAGCTTTTTAAAGCTAAAATATACTGAATTTTCGTGCTCTTTGTGGTCCTGCTCCTTTTGCCTTTCGCCCATGGTGGCACTGGAATGCAACTCCTGGGAACTTCTCTGAAATGGAATCTGACTTTAAAAAGTTTAAAATCCACTGGGTCCTATAAAATTCTGTGATAAGAGAAGATGCTGCCTGGGTCAGTGTATAGCTGTGGTATTGAATTAATATTTTCTCTCCTGTTAGGGTCCTCATTAGCATTACTTCCCCTGCCCCCCAAATGCTGTCAGTCCTGGAAGGAAAGCTCTCACTGCTTCAATCTTAATGATACTCTCTTCCCCACACATGCTTAATAAACTACTGATAAAGTTGCTAAAGATATATTTAAGATCTACTTTGGTTCTCAGATAAGTTTTGCAACACATCATAAGGGAGCAGCAACCTATTCTTCTTAAAGAAATAGATAGGGTAAAGTTAGATCCAGGCTGCTCACAAGCTGTTATAATTGTGCACTGAATCACAGTGACACCTGCAACAGACCCAGGTGCCGGTTGTTTATGAAGGAGCATACCAATAACATAGTTACAAGACCAAATAATACTATGCAGTACATCAAAGCTCCGCATATCTGCATCTCCACAAACTTTGCTTGAAATTGTGTTGGCCATATAAAGAAGGATAAAATATATGCATCTGAAAGACAAAACAGAAATATAAGAATTTTGTAAGTGAATATGAAATCATAGAGAGAGGCTGAGAGAGTGGTGATTTGCAAGAAGTGGCAAAGCAGGAATTATTTCAAAGATTATTTCACTGTACACCATCGGTGTGCAACTTGTGACTGCCCAGATGGTTTGGCTAACGTTTCCATGATTCTTCACCATTGCCTATGCCAGTGGTTCCCAACCGTTTTTCACTTGTGTAAAGTGAGGGAGCGGGACTTTTCTCTAGGTTAAATAACAAAGAAAGCCTGCTGTACCACTCCTCATAATGTTCCATTAACTTCACAACTTTTGGCTTGTATCTTGTCTTACGCTGTTGATGTACATGCCTTTTCTCACCATTATTCAATTTTTTCACATTCCCCTAAATGTCTTGGTTCATACATCTGGAGGTATGCATATCCTTGGTTGGGAATTACTGGTCTATGCTATGTAGAGCTGATGAGATTGCCCGTTCCTAGTATAAACCAAGGCTTAAATAGGGATTAAGTGAATTTATGACATCCTCTTTGCTTTCCCGTGTAGATGGTTGTGAATGGCCCCAAGGAAATCTGTCAGTTGGAAAGTATATGTATGTAATAACAAAATAGTTTGTGATAAAGGGAGCTCTAACTTTCTAAAGCTTTGAAAGGATACCCCCTACTAAAATGAATTTATCTTGAAAATTTTGAATTGCCATGTTGGTCTTGAGTCATCATTCAACATCTTTGACTTACAACTTTAGCAGAGCACACATTCTTCTAATCATAACATTTTCATAATGTGACTAAAGGAGCTGTTGATCATCTTGGGACTAAGATACTGCATTTCAGGTATTAAAAGACTATGTATACAATAGTTCAATACTCTCAAAATAGTCCTGCAGGCTTGTATCATGGTCCTCATATTGCACATGGGCTAGTACATGATTTAGATGAAATTTGAATCTTGGACTTCCCCACTCACAGCTACTCTAGTGTATTGTCATGGGAGAAGTTTGGTCACAGTTTATGATATGCCAGACACCTGAATGGATCCCCCATGATCAGAACCTTCTGGCACCAAGCTATCATTCTCTTTGTTTTTCAGCATGACCATTGATGGATGCCAAAACCAAACTACACTCTAGTATTTTGTTACCGGGCCAGTATTTAGATAGGAGGTGCTTAAAGGGAGAAAATGCAGGTGCTTAAGGGAGGTGCTTAGGAGGTGCTTAAAGGGAGAAAAATTTCAGGTGCTTAGGAGGTGCTTAAAGGGAGAAAATGCAGCAAGAAATTGCATAACTGGCTTGTGAAAAGCACTCTCCCAACTAGTACTATCAATATTCCAGAATGACACTAGAGAGCACTGTGATTCTAGAAATGGCATTTGAAATGCAAGGAAAAAGACATTTGAACAGGTCATGTTTTCCTATGGTCACAGAGCACGTTCTGAAGGAACAGGTCAATGTTTATATGGAGTAATTATATAACTTGCATGGTATAAGGCTGGTGAGAGAGACTTGAGAAAGTACCATGTAGGTTCTGGGTATGATGATTTGCATATTTTATTTGAATAATCAGATAACAGGACTGAAATTGTGAACAAGTCTTTTATAGAGGCTATAACCAGAACCCTTACTATAAAGGACACTCTGGCTTGTATGCTGAAGTTGTCCTGCCTAGGGTAACTATGCAATGTTTTTCCATCTAGTAAAAATTGCCTGCTGACTTGTGGTCATTTCTTGTGTCATTACATAAAGCTGAAAAGGACCCCCCCCCCTTTTTTTTTTGCTTCACAAGAGGCTTCATCCCCTTGTGACTTTATCCTCCCTTAATTTAGCATTTCTGTTATCTTATTGGCTCAGGCCAGTAGCAACAGGAGAATAGTTTCACTCTATAAGTTACTTAGAACTGAGCTATTGCTATTAGTAGTGGCTTCCCTGTGACCTGCCATCGTACATTATATTTTAAATCAATTTTTTAAAATGATATATTAAAAGAAAACAGATTTTAAAAGAAGAAAGATATAGAAGTACTTACAAGAATTGTTGATGGCATGTGCCACATAGAAAAGATGTTTTTCTCTTACAGGATGGAAACCTCCTTTCAAGCTGCTGACAGTTTTTTCACCATCTGAGTAGGAAAGAAAGAATGCTTTTTCAATTATTTTATTAATTTGCAGTTTTAATAAATTTTAGGATCCCATAAGGTAATCTACGAAGGCTATAATCCTATGATTGTTTAGACAGAAGAATGGTCTACAACTCCCAGCACATCCCAGCCAATCATGCTGGCTTGAATATACTGGGAGTTATATGCCTTTTTTGTATCTGTTTAAATATGCATAGGATTGCACCCTAAGCTATCTTTAGTTGACTGACAGTCCAGCAGATTCTCTCAGAACTGATAAGAGTGCTTACTGGTCTCTTTCCCCTATCCCCCTTGCACTTTTTTTATTTATTTTATTTATTAAAACATTTTTATGCCGCCCCATTCGCCGAAGCCTCGGGGCGGCTTACAACAATAAATTACAATAAATATAAACATTAAAAATCCAAAAAATACAATATAAAATAAGCCGCCCTGGCCAGATAAGATCAAATAATACTAACAGTTAAAATGCCGCTTTTGTGGTTTTATGTAAGGCAACTTCCTTAGTTTGAAGTACTTTGATATTGAGTGACTTTTGCTGGCTTAATCTTTTTCTGCAGCTTTTGTAATCTACAACTTCCTTAGCCTCTGCTATGAATACCTTGGTGGGGAAAGCTCCATCATGTCTGAGATCAGAGGGAAGCCTATTGAGTGAGTATCCACATTTCCTTAAAATAGATTGGCCATCTGTCCCTCTTTGGTGGGAGGGAGGATAAGACAGGTAAATCATGATCTGGGTTTCCTCCACACATTCGAAAGCCACATACTATCCTCAGGCATTTCTGCCTAATTTCAAATTAACCCTGATAATTCTTGACACACCAAGAATCTGTGGTACTCAGAAGCAAAAACACCTTTGACAGTGTCAGATACCATGGATAGAAAAAGATAGTGCAATCTAACTTAAAATTACTGAGAGTTCTGTCAGTAACATCACTGGGGGGTTGATTGAACTTGTAGCTGTAATTTGCCATGCCTGAAGAAAGGGAGGGGCAGAGCTGCTGCTTTGCAAGTAGAAGATCCCTGGTTCAATCCTAATCATCTCCAGGGAGAGCTGGGAAAACCCCTGACTGAAACACTGCACAATCACTGCCAGTCAGTGTCAACAGTAGTGATCTAGACGGACAAAGTGTCTGATTAAGTATTAGGCCATTTTCAGTTTCCTGATGCGTGATAGGAAGGAAAAGCATAGGATCAAATTATGTACATGCTTTGTGTACTTATGTACATGTTTTTGTGTACTTACTCTACATTGTAAGCTGTCCCAAGATGCCGAGGCATGTGGTGACAGCATATAAAAGTTTTAAATTAAATAAATAAATAAATTGATTTTTAATCCTACTCTGTTTAAAGGCTAAAAGTAATCATCCTGTTATTGAAACCTCTGATGTCATATCTGAATCTTTTCTGCTTTTCATTTTCTTTTATGTAATATACTTCTTATAACCATCAAAATAAAAAACCCTGTAAAACATCTGCCAAACATCATAACCATTTAAATGCTTTATTTAGACATTGCTATTACACAGTATTGATCATTTACTAATTAGCTATCTTGTTGTATTTCTTTTAGGTCTAGCTGTATGTATGGGACTTGTTGCTTATGGGGAAAGACATATTCCATTGGATTTCTGAGATTTTGCAAACAGGTATGGTTTCGCAGAATGTGATTAGATTCTGAAGTGATCCCTCTTGTGGGATTTTTTGGAAATGGAGTCTGTTTAGACTCTTTTAAACTAAGTTTGAGGACACACGTAAGTATGAGTACAGATGCAGGTTGATGTAACAGTTTCTATTCCTGCCTTTTTCTTTCCTAATACTTTAATTATACATGTCAAGCTTTACGTAAGTATAAAGCTCATACAAATTAATTTTGTGCCTGACAACTTGGCTACCCTTTTGGAAATTAGAAATGGGAAGAGAAAAATTCACTTACATATAACCGTGTAGCTCTGAGGAAGTGATGTGTGAATTATGAAACAGGAAATTTTGAATTGTAATCTCACTTGCTCTGCTTATGTAACTTGCAATTTAAGTTTTCACCTAAGGCCCTGCTCTGCAGTACACAAAACTGAGCTGCTATTGTATTCAAAGCAGCCTTCTCCAACCTAATATCCTCTGTATGTTTGGACTACAATCCCTAGAATTTCTGACAACAGGCCATGCTGACTGGGGATGATGGGATATGAAATTCCAAATAGCTGAAGGGTACCAGGTTGGGGAAGGCTGATTCTTAAATATGGAAGGAGAGAGAGAGAGAGTTTATTTAGGGACCTTATGAGGACTAGAACCCAGAATTCCAGCATGGTAGGCCTACAGTAAAGCTTCACTACCTGTACTAACTGCCACAATATCAATGTAACATTGATAGGGTACAGAAGGAATTTAGAATTTATTCACATGTGGTAACTGTTTACATGATTCTTTGCTTCTACTACTGTAGCTACTTTGTACTATTTCATCCTCAAAATATATTCCTGTATTTCCAGATTTCTCTTCATATATTCCTGTTCTCTCTTTATATATTCCTGGATTTTTGTACTCTCTTTTAAACAATATTTGTGAATTGGTGTGTATATTATCATACTTCTTTGCTGCTTTGTGTGTGTTACTGAGTGTGTTTGTGTGTTACTGAGATTTTTTTTCCATTCTACCTCCCTGTATGTAAGCATCCTCACATGATGGACATGTGCTCTCCCCACAAATGTATCCCATTTTTATTAAACTTTTCGAACGATTTAAGCAATTAGTCTATAGAGTGATTTTGCTACTTGTCTTGGCAAAAATATGGGAAACTTTTAAATAGATTTTGAAAATAGACAGGGACACAATAGTGTCACTACTGCACGAATGAAGAGATTCAGGGAGAAGTTAGTTGAAAGGTACAGTGAGACTCAGCTTGATTAGAAGTAGGTGGTTGAATGTTCCTTCAGTTCATAACTGAGTGTATAAACTTCAGTTCGAGTGAGATCACATGGTCAAAGGCTCGAGTGTGTTTTAGGGCTGAAGGAACATTGTGTGATCTAATAATTTGGAAGTGAGGGTGTGGGGGAGGTTCTGAAACAATCTGGGTTATTTTTAGCCTGAATGTGGTATTAGGCAATGGGCATCTCTCTTAAACACTTACATAAAAACATGTACATTTCTGACTCAGTTGTCCAGATTGCTTGTTTGTACCTCATGATAGGAATTAGTTTCAGGTTCTTTTGTGTGATTAAATGTCACGTGTTTATCATATGGGTCCTTGTGCATAAGTTTTGCAGAGGAAGTGATCAAGCATGAACCACAACTCTGCACCAAGGGAACCTCTCCCATTTTAATTATAGTGAATAAATTGCCTCACATGTTGCAACCAACTCTGCATTGTACTGTTGGGAGGAAGATAAAATTGATCTTAGTAAAACCTATCAACAAGATTGAGTAGTAAAAATAGTTGTCACACACAGTTGTTGTGTTCTGGGAAGACAACTCTTATTTCAAGAAACTGCAGAACAAGATAAGACTTTCTTGTGTCTTATGCAGAACAAGATAAGACACTGCATTCCACATGAAAATTTGACATTTGAATGAATGACAGTCACCCAAAGAATAGTTGTTTCCCAAAATGCTATTCCAAGCATACCTTGAATTTTCAAGGGTTTTTAAATGAATGTTTTCAGCTTTCAAATATGGAAATAGGAGAGGAAAATGTACAAGCAGAATATTCCTCTTTACTTAGTAGGATGTAAACCTAATCCTAGTTTCCAATATTTTGTTTATTGAGTGCAAATGTGAGGGAATGCCTGATGAGCTCTTGGATCATTTGCCACTCTTCAAAAAAGTATGTTGAATTTCTCTTCAATTAAAATTGTATAAAAGGACAAATAACATTAACTGCAAGCTAGGTAAAGTATATCAAACTGAATAGAACTGAAATATATGGTTTAGACTACCTTCATTGTAGCTTCTGTAAAATTTCATGGATATATAATATTGCCTAACTGCAATATCACAGAATGGTAGAGTTGGAAGGGGCCAGAGAGCCATCAAGTCCAGCCCCCTGCTCAGTGCAAGACTCCAGCTTAAACTATCCCCTTCAGATGGGTGTCCAGTTGCATCTTGAACAACTCCAGCATGGGAGAACCCACAATCTCCCTAGGTAATTGGTTCCATTGTTGTACTATTCTAACAGTCAGGAAATTTTTCCTTATATCTAGCCAGAATTTGCCTTCCTGCACTCTGGGATGATTGAGAAGAGAGACTGTCCTTCCTCTTAGTGACAGCTTTTGGAGTACTTATGGAGTGTTATCATACCTCCCCTCAGTCTTCTCAAGGCTAAACATGCCCACTTCTTTCAGTGTCTCTTCATAGGGCTTTGTTTCCAGTCCCTGGGTCATCCTTGCCCTCCTCTGAACCATTTCAAGCTTGCCTGCATGTTTCTAAAACTGTGGTGCCCAGAACTGGACGCAGTACTCCAGATGAGGCCTAACCAGTGTTGAGTACTTCACATGATTTGGAAGTGATACTTCTGTTAATGCAGCCTGAAATAGCATTTTCCCTTTTAACAGTCGCATCACATTGTTTCAGTTTGTTATCTACAACAATTCCAAGATCCTTCTCACTTGCAGTATTGTTGAGCCAAATATTCCCCATCTTGTAATAAAGCATTTGGTTTCTTTTTCCTAGTGCAGAACTTGTTATTTCGTCCTATTGAATGTCATTCTATTGTTCTCAGCCCAACAGTCCAGCCTATCAAGATCACCTTGTATCTTATTTCTGTCTTTCAAGGTATTAGTTTTCCCACCCATTTTTGTGTTATTTGCAAATTTGATAATTGTTCTCTGCACTTCTTCATCCAAATCATTAATAAAAATGTTGAAGAGCACTGGGCCCAGGACTAAACCCTGCATACCCCACTTGTTACCTCTCCCCATTTTGAGAAGGTGCCATTGCTGAACATTCTTTTGAGTTTGATTCTGTAGCCAACTGTGAATCTATCTGATCATTGTCCCATCTAGCCTACTTTTTGCTAGTTTGCTAATCAAGATATCATGGGGCACTTTGTCAGAAGCTTTGCTGAAGTCAAAGTAGATTGTGTCCACAGCATTCTTATGGTCCATCAGGAGGGTTACTCAATCAGAAAATGAAATCATATTAGTCTGGCAGGATTTGTTCTTGAGAAATCCAGATTAGCTTCTAGTAATCACTACATTGCTTTCAAGGTGTTTAGAGGCTGACTGCTTTATAATCTGCTCAAGAATTTCCCCAGGGATTGATATCAGACTAACTGGTCTGTAGTTCCCAGGTTCTTTTTTTCTTGAAGACAGGGACAACAGTAGCCCTTCTTCAGTCATCTGGCACTTCCCCTGTTGTCCATGATATTTTAGAGTTCTTCTGCCAACTCCTTTATGACTCCAGGTTGGAGTTAATCAGGCCCTGGAGATTTGAACTAATTCAACTCCATTAGATGATCCTTGACCATTTGCCTATCAATCTTGAGCTGCCATCCTGCTTCTTCATCTTGTACTTTCCTTTCGTCAGGAATGTCATAGATCTTATTTTGGAAGACGGCTGAATTAAAGTAGGAATTGAGCACTTCTGCCTTTAATTTGTCATCTGTTAGTTTGCCATCCACATTGAGTAGCTGAGCCCCCATTTCTTTCCTCTGTCGTTTACTTTGGACATATTTAAAGAAGGCGTTGTTGCTTTTAGCATCCATTGCTAGCTGCAGTTCTCCCCTAGCTTTAACTTTCCTGAAGTCATCCTTGCAATTCCATACTACCTGTTTGTATTCTTTCTTTGTAGCCTGGCCTTCCTTCCACTCTCTGCTCATGTCCTGTTTTGTTTTCAGATCATCTCTAAGCTATTTCTGGGTTGCTTCTGTTGATGATTTATTTCCCAACAGATAATGGAGAAATTGAAGTTCCTTATCCTTAGTGCCTACAGGCTTGGGATTTGGCACTTGATTTTCCAGGAACAATTTTACAGCTCAGTGTGTATAGGTGTGAATGTTGGACACTAAAGAAAGCTGACAAGAAGAAAATTGATGTGTCTGAAACATGGTTCTGGGGAAGTGCTTTATGGATACCTGGACTGATAGAAAGGTAAACATATGGGTTCTAGATTAGATCAAGCCAGAACTTTCCCTAGAAGCAAAAATGATAAAACTGAAGCTGTCATACTTTGGGCACATCATGAGAAAGCAAGACTCACTGGAGAAGACAATCATGCTGGATATTGTTGAAGACAAAAGAAGAAAAGGAACACCAAATATGAAATGAATTAACTTCATAAAGGAAGCCACAGCCTTGATTTGCAATTGCTTAGCAGGGCTGTGGAGGACAAGAAATTTTGGAGGGCTTTCATTCATAGGGTTGCTATAAGCCAGTGACAACTTGACAGCACATGCAACACCCTGACAACAATTTTATTGTTATGGTAAATGTTGGCACAGCACTTATGTGTGCAGAAAACTGTGAGAAGGCAACAGTTTGTCATCCCTTGCCTGTATTTATAACTTGTGGCTGCAATGGTGGAGGTCTTCGTAGGCATCATAAATCTGCTCAGAACTGTGTTTCTTTGGAATCAGCTGCTGAAGCAACAGTCTTGACTGACTCAGGTAACTCTTTCCCCTCATGTTGGTAAACCCATGAAGGAGGAGATGTATTCCTTGTTTCTGGTGTTTTTTTTTTTTTTTTCTGGGACATACGTGAACTTCTGAGGACCTCATACATAAGCTTGACTAGTGTGAGTTAAGACTTTAGAGTCTGGTTCTGAGCTGTCTGTTCTTTTCTTGACTTGTGCTTGATGAGAGTGTAACTGTCTAGGTCACCTGCACCCATTTGTCCTTCCCTTATGTCTTAACACTTTCTTCACCAGGAAGTATCTAAAAATAAACACTTGTGGGATTAGGCTGCAGGAAAATGATTAAACAATCCTCAGAATGGAGAAGAGGAAGCTCAAAAGCACAGTTTAACAATTAGCTTGACCTTTTCCAGTTCACAACTTGGCAATGACTCACAGCTGGTTTATGCTGGGATTCTTAATCTTGTTGAAGTCTCATGACTACTACCCAAAAGCATCTTATCTCAAACAATCTTTTCCTCTCCTTTGGCTTTCTCCTTTATGACTGCAAGGCCAGCCTCTGACACTTGTCTACTTAAAAAAAAGAGGAGATTCCTGCTAAAATTCCAGTTTTGCACAGTGCCACCCTTTTGAACATAATGCTTACTTGTAATTCATAGTCTCTTTAGGAAAACAAATGGCACATTCACTATTCCCTTTGCTAAAAGGGGACTTGAATCATAAATTTTGGAGAGATCCAGTGGGTCATCTAGTCCAAGGATGGGCAGAAGGTAGATATTTGGAGCTTCAGTTCCCAGGGACCCCTTCGAACATGGGAAATGGCCAGGAATGGACATCTTTTTGCCAGTTCCTGATCTAGTCCACCCCCTGCATTGGAACTATTTATTATATACTTAAAACATTATTCAAGTGCTCCTAGGCCATTGTTAGCTACTAGTACTTCCTGTAATCTGTGCTGTCAGGATGGGCAAAGATGTCCCTTTTATTCATAACATTTATATGCTCCCTTTCCATTCTAGAAATGGCCTCCACAGTGGCTCACATGTACACAGGAACTGAATAAAGCATGGTAGAGTGATACAACATTTTTCATCAAGGGACTGAGAAGCAGGTTGCTATTAGTAGTTTTAAATAGGCTTTTTGTGAATAAGTATGTACCCAGCCAAGTTGCTGGAGAACAAAGGCAGCATTTTTTCTCCAGCAGGGTATATAGAGTAATAGTTTTTATTGCTTAAGGCAAGGTAATTGGGAGGAGGGAACTGGTCTTAAAGTATGCTACTTTGCTTAAGATATCTACTACTTCCCTCTGAGAAAAATTTCAACTCTTCATCTTCTCTCTGGAATGCCCCTTTTTATTATGCAATGATAGCAAATAAAGGAAGAAAAGCCTTTGCCAGAGACACACATTGACTGCAAGTGACAAGGAACAGAAGAAAATTCTGTAACAAGAAAGGGCAATGAAGAATTATTGCACAATGGATATCTAATAACTACTGTACGTGGTCCTGCCCACAGTTCGGCCAATACATTTGCCAATGAATATGGCAGACATGCCAAGTTATGAGAAAATGTAACATCTCTTTTTCCTCTGTAAATAAGATGCTAGGGTTCTTGAGTATTGCAAAGATCTGCATTGTCCCTCATGATTAATGAATTGCCTTCAAAACAGACTGCTAATAATTTTTTGTTTAGACCACTATGTCCATACGGTATGAAAGCTATTTATTTATTATCATATATCATATCATATCATGTGTTTAATAAAAACCATTTACATCTACATTGTTAAATATCCTTAGCTCTAGGTTGTGTCTCTTGTGTCTCTATATAGTTGAGAATAGCTACCTTTCTCTTCTGACTGAAGGGTTTTCTAAACTCATAGCATTCTTCTTCATAAGCATAGTTTGACCTTTAAAACAATACTGCCCCCTTATTTTATATCTCTTCAAAATTTCATCATAAATTTTATGTTCCATTGTTGAATATGATGTACCAAATAAGAGCTGGCACTTAAATGTGGAGCAAATAGAAGAAACCATGTATAAATATACTTTTACCCTAAATGTAGCTAATTCATAAACAAATGGTGAATTTGCTTGGTCAGTATGCTTCTCATAGTCCATGTTGAGAATGCTGCAGTTGTAGTGGAGGTAGACAGGTGGGACAGGGTAGAGATGAAAGAGGTACACACCTTTGTTCTTTTCCATTTTCATTTTGCCTGGCTTCCTTTGTTCCTCTCCTCCAGGCAACTCTGCAATTCTGTGTGGTGAAGCCCCTCATGGCAATTATTACAGTTGTCCTTCAGGCATTTGGGAAGTATCGTGATGGTGACTTTGAGTAAGTAAATAGCTTAATTATAAATATACTACTTTGAAAGTAACACTTAGCTGACAGTTCTATGAAGAAAGGAATCTATCTTCTAAAAATAGTTTTGGGATAATCAAATGAGGCCATAACTGCAAGAATGTGCAATATAATGGGTATTGTTTGGTACAGCATCTGTGAGATTAGGGTCTAATAACTTATGCTCAATTCTAAAGTCCACTGGGTAACCTTGAGCCAGTCACTCTTCACCTTACTTCACAGAATTGTTGTGAGGAAGAATTTAAAATATATGTTATAGAAATGAGGGCCTGTTGGCATTGACCATCACGACATATCTACCTACAGGTAAAGTGTTCACATTTTGATTCCCAAAATGCTTGATTGTAGCATAAACAGCTTGCTCCATCACTGCCCTATGTTCAGATTGTGATAGGTCCTGAATGGATTGTGGATGGGGGAGGCTGTAATCAATGTAAAGATAATGTATTATCCATGTATATTTTGACATCAGTTCATCATTTAGTTATGGAGGTGTGAAGGACCATTGAAGTAGAGAGGAATCTTTCAAATATTGCCTGAGAAAGGAAGCATTAAATATACCTAAGAAACTGAGCAATGCTATTTTCTTTCCTTGCAGTGTCACAAGTGGGTATCTCTACGTGACAATCATTTACAATATTTCTGTCAGCTTGGCCCTCTATGCCCTCTTCCTCTTCTACTTCGCCACACGTGAACTGCTAAGTCCCTACAGTCCTGTCCTGAAATTCTTCATGGTCAAGTCTGTTATTTTCCTGTCCTTCTGGCAAGGTGAGACATTAACACAGATACCTACATTCCTCAAGCTGATATATCTGGGGAGGCCTGAATGACTGTTAAAACCTGTTGAAGATAGTTATCTGATAGACACATGAATCTTCAATTCCTGATTTCATAACTCATAGGTTAAGCCTGTCTTCCTCTGCCATTTCTGATTGTTACCTTCCTCAGTATTTACATTAGAGAGACAGTGTGGCATTGTAGTAAGAGTGATGGACTGAAACTTGAGAAATCCAGATTCTAGTTCCCACTTAGCCAATGCAGCTCACTGGGTGACTTTGGGCCAGTCACTGACTCAGCTTAATCTGTCTCACAGGATTGTTGTGAGGATAAAATAGAGAGAGGAGGAGGGTATGTAAGCCACTGTGGGGCATTTGCAGGAAAAAGAGCTGTGTATAAATACAGTTAATCACAAAATCAATAAATCAATAACTCACCTCTGCTTTTGAATGTTTACTACCTCCTATCATTGTGCTGTAATAAGGTAACTCATTACAGGTGATTTCAGAAGCTCATTATGTATTTACAGTTCTTTGTATGGGTCCAGGGAGCAAATGTAACATACTTTGGTGGTTTTAGAATTCTTCGTCGTGGCCTCTGTGCATCACACATATGGGTGCTGCGCTTGTGCAGTGCCTGTGGCCGGAAGATTGCAAGCTAACGGTTTTTGGCGGGAAAAGCTCCGCTCCCCCTCCCCCATAGCCTATAAAGAACGGAGCGTCTGCCATTTTGTTCAGTCTTTGTGACCACCGTTCACTGTGCCTCGTGCTGCTCTCGCTCTGACCGTTGCTCGTCTAGCTTGTTCTTCTTCTCGATTGTTCTCCCAGTTGTTATAGCCCCAGTATTTCTTCTAGTTCTTATAGTTTCTCTATTGTTCTACCTTCCTTTTGATCTTCTGTTAAAAAAAACAAACCAAAAATATATACTTACCCTCTGCGCTATCTCCTTTTTTCTCTTTCTTGTGATGGCGCAGCGAGTGGCTTTCTGCAAATGCGTGGAGTGCAGGTCTAAAATGTCTCCGACCAACCCGCATGACCTATGCCTCCTCTGCTTGGGGGAGGGACATAGGACTGAGAAATGCTCTCACTGCCTGGCCTTCTCTAAGCAGGCCAGGAAAAACCATGAGAATCGCCTCCGGAGGCTCTTGTGGGACTGGAGGCGACTTCCTGGCCAGGAGAGTCTACGCTGCCTCAGGCCTGGGGCTACATATCTCCAACTACAAGGCGGCGTTGGCAAGGTATCAATACTTCATAATGCAACGCCTCCACAACGTCGCCTCGACCCTCCCGGACCACCAGGGCGACCTGGCCAAGGTCCTCATCAAGGAGGCGATGCAGGTTGCTGTCCAGCAGCTGTTCACAGCCAGGCACCAAGTGGACACAGACTCGAGGGCCTTGGTTGGTGCAGTTTCACTTCGGAGACACGCCTGGCTAAGAAATTGTAACTTCCCAGAGGAGAGCAAACGTCAGATTTAGGAAATGCCCTTCGATGGGTCCGGACTTTTCCACTCGCGCACCGACCACAAGTTAAAGAAACTACATGAATCCCGCATGATGGCACGCAGGATGGAGCTACAGACCCAGACCAGGTGTAAGTGGTCATGGACTCGTCCATCTCATAGGCAGTCCTATCAGCCTAGACAGCAGCCCCAGCACCGACAGCAGCAGCAACAGCAGCGCCGCCGTCCACAGCCCCAGCAACACTATCAGCAGGGCCGCCACCATTTCGACAATAGGAGACAGCGTTGACGGGACTGGCGAACCATTCCTCTGATCCCTTCCATACCCACCCCCGTCTCATCTGGGGATCTACTGTGAAGCTGACTCCCCATTTGGGAGTCCATCACATCTGATCGGTGGGTATTGTCCATCATTCAGCACGGCTATTGGATAAAATTCAACATCGTTCCTCCATCGAGTCTGATCCGGTTTACATCATGCTCGCCGGTACTACTTGATGAAATACAACAACTTCTTCGTAAAGGAGCAATTTGTCAAGTAACCCCATCTGACGGACTCTACGGATTCTATTCCAGATATTTTACAGTCCCGAAGCGGGATGGTGGTCTATGTCCGATTTTGGACTTATGTAATCTGAATCGATTTTGGACTTATGTAATCTGAATCGATTTATTGTGACAAAAAAGTTTTGAATGACCACCCTTCAAAATATTTTGCCGCTGCTAAGGAAAAGGGATTGGTTCACCTCATTGGACTTGAAGGACGCCTATTTCCACATTTCGATCCACCCGAGTTATAGGCGTTTCCTTTGTTTTGCTGTTGTACCTCATTTCTACGAATTTACAGTTCTACCTTTTGGACTGGCCACTGCTCTGAGAGTGTTCACCAAATGTATGGCCCCTGTCTGCGCTTTCATACGCCTCCAAGGCATACAAATTTACTCATATCTTGATGGTTGGCTGCTAGTGTCCCAATCTAGGGAAGGACTCCTCGCATCCATCCGTACAACCTGTGCCTTGTTGGATGATCTGGGCCTACGCATTAATACCGAGAAATCTTCTCTTCTTCCGACGCAGATGCTTACCTTCATTGGAGCCTACTTGGATTCGACATTGGGGAAAGCCTTCCTTCTTCGGGACAACAACAGATTCTTGCTCGCCGCATCCTTTTAATGCGACGAGACGGGATGGTCCCAGCAAAGTCCATCTAGAGGATCCTGGGACATATGGCTTCCTCAGTTGCTGTGGTGTCACATGCCAGACTTCGACTCCGTCCGTTACAACTCCTCTTCAACAAGATGTTCCACCCACAGAGAGACCCACTGTCGAAATTGGTTCGAATCCTATCCTCGGTGCTCCATTCTCTACTCTGGTGGTCGGTACCAGCCAATCTGACTGTTGGGGTTCCCTTCAGGCCACGATGTTCTTCGATAACCCTTGGTACCGATGCATCTCTTCTGGGATGGGGAGCAATATGCTCGGGCCTATACACCCAAGGCACGTGGAATTGTCAAGAATCCACGAATCATATCAACTTCCTGGAGCTGCTGGCAGTATTCAAGGCCCTGCGCTCTTTCGAGGATGTTCTCCAACATCAGGTCGTTCAGATAACTTCGGACAACATAGCCACCGCCTTCTATCTGAACAAACAAGGTGGAACAAAGTCCCCAACTTTGGCCAGACTTTCAATGAAAATTTGGGACTTGTGCATTCCGAGACATTACGCTGATGGCAGTCCATCTGGCTGGTACGGACAATGTGCAAGCAGACCTCCTCAACAGGCACATGTTCATCGCTCACGAATGGGAACTAGATCCTCGGACACGTGACCATTTCTTCCATCGCTGGGGGTTCCCCGATGTGGACTTGTTCGCCACCCAACAGAACAAGGTGTGCGATGCTTACTGTTCAAGAGTGGGAATCAGGGATGGATCCCTAGGGGATGCCTTCATGATCCCTTCGAACAACCTGATCTTTTACGCCTTCCTTCCAATCCCTCTTATGATGAGAGTGATAGCGAAGATAGTATATGATCGGGCCTCGGGGATACTAATTGTCCCTTGGTGACCATGCCAAGCTTGGTTTGTGACACTGCTCGACATCTCTTGCAGGGAATGCCTCCATCTACCACTGCTTCCGTACCTCATAACCCAACAGGGCGGTATGCTTCGCCATCCAGATTAACTGTCATTGAACTTAACAGCGTGGCGAATCTGATAGCTACCATTGCACCATCGATATCGACAACTTCAAGTGGTTCGAATCCTGCCGTCGAATCCAGTGGGTTCGGCGTTTCCTCTTCATTTCTTCCTTCCGTACCATCGGATTCAAGGATTGATCCGTCGAATCCGACAGCCTTTCATCCTGATATCCAACACATCCTTGATTCTGCTTTGAAACCGTCCACACGGAAGTCCTACGCGGCTAAATGGAGACGATTTTCTACCTTTGCCAAGTCATGTTCGTCCTCTGCATTGACATCATCGATACATCAAATCCTTCAGTTCCTATTAGAACTGCACCATTCCGGATTGAAACCGTCTTCAGTTAAAGTGTATACGGCAGCAATAGCCTACCATCGTGGCTTGGTTGACGGATCAACCATCTTCTCTCAACCTACTGTTAAGAGGTTTCTTAAAGGACTTCATAATCTTAATCCATCAATCAGGCCAGTAATGCCTACATGGAGTCTCTCTGTTGTTCTGCAAGCACTTACGAGAGCTCCTTTCGAACCACTGGCAACAGTCGATTAACGTCTGGTTTCATGGAAGACAGCGTTTCTTGTTGTGGTTACTTCAGCCCGAAGGGCCAGTGAGCTCTGTGCTCTCCGCATAGACCTTCTTACCTGAACTTTCACAGAGAAAAGGTCATTTTGCGCCTTGATCCATCTTTTCTTCCTAAGGTGGCCACATCTTTTCATATGGGACAGGATATTATCTTACCTGCCTTTTTTCCATCGCCATCGACTCTGTTAGAAAGATCGTTGCACTCACTTGACGTTCGGCACTGCTTAGCCTTCTACAGATTGAGGACTGAATCTATTTGATGCTCAAATAGACTATTCGTTAAATATTCCACCAGAGATCAAGGCGATCCAGTCACTCCACAGAGACTTTCCAAGTGGATAGTCCATACTATCACTTTATCCTACCAGCTGGCTAAGATTGAATTACCTACAGCTCCTTGAAGGCATTCGACTAGGGCTGTTGCTGTCTCATCTGCCTTTGCATCAGGGGTCCCGATTGATGATGTATGCCGTGCTGTTACTTGGGTGAACCCTTGCACTTTCGCCAGACATTATCGTCTAGATGTTCGGGCTCGGCAAGATTGCTCCTTTGGCAGAGCAGTTGTTTCATCTATTCTTCATTGAGAATGACACCTCCCCTCCTCCTTTTATGGTAAGCTTGTTAATCTACCCATATGTGTGATACACAGAGGCCACAACGAAGAAAAGCAGGTTGCTTACCTGTAACTGATGTTCTTCGAGTGGCCATCTGTGCAGTCACACAACCCACCCGCCAGCCCCGCTTGGTGTTGATGAGTGGACATATTCGTCGGTACCAAAGGTTTCCCTTTTTTTCATGGTACTGATCTTTTTCCTATCTAGTAGTGGCAAATTTTTTCCACATGGGAGCGTACGTTCGGTTGTCAAAGACTGAACAAAATGGTGGAGGCTCCGCTCTTTATAGGCTATGGGGGAGGGGGAGCGGAGCTTTTCCCGCCAAAAACTGTTAGCTTGCAATCTTCCGGCCAGAGGCACTGCGCAGGCACAGCACCCATATGTGTGACTGCACAGATGGCCACTCGAAGAACATCAGTTACAGGTAAGCAACCTGCTTTTACAATTTAGTGCTTAAAAAAAAAAGGTTGTGGTTGTTCTCTTAACTGTGCCTCTTTCTTTAAATGTTCCATATGATGTCAGCATCCTTGTTGGATCAGCATCCACATACAATCGACCAGTAGTTGATTTAGTTAGCATCTACATGCTAAATAGGTTACATTACTATATAAGCCAGAGGAGCGTGAAAATGAGCAGGGTTAGCACAAAGTCTGCTTTTGCTATGTTGTACATAATAGGGATAATTCCTTTCCTGGGTCCAGTTGACTATCATGTTGCTTCTTAGCTGGTGTTAACTGGCATAGAATGACATATTTTTCAAGAGCACTAAACTGATTGCATCAGTAATGGAATTCTAAACTCAAATATAAACTGACAATTTCCCCCCAAGATAATATTACAGCTTTGAGTCTCCCTTTTGTTTGTTCAGCACCCTTCTGAAGGGATTTGTCTCTCATTATGATTCTTTGCTATACCTAAAATGTAATGCCTGTCTTTTAATGATGAAATGAACATTGTCAATATAGTACTTTCTGAAAGGCCATCTCTGGGCACGTTCCTTCTGTTGCAAAATATTTCTCTATTAAGGTGAATGTCCTATGTGTAGATGTGCTGAATGCCAAATGGACCAGGGAGAGGGATCCCAACTTGCATAGGTACCTCAATGTATGCAACAAAACTAGAGAAAGTCAAGTTGTATATGCATACAGTTGGAGGATTCTGAAGATAAATAACTTCTGTTGTGAGTTCTGTGCTGGTGCAATGAGAGAGCAAAACTGGTGAGGGAGAAGGAACCACACTGAGCAAAATGTGAGTGAAACAAGTCACAGTCATAGTCATTACAAATAATTCAATATTTCCTAAAGCAGAAATGGGCAAATTGTGTCCCTTCACGTCAGTGAAAGGGAGATTTGTGTTAAGATGCTAGCAATTAGTAAAAGTACACAATAAAGGTCTGTGAAAAAAACACCCGAATAAATATTATTCATAAAAAGTTTCTAAAACAGGGCACAGTAAAGTTTACAAGTAAGCTGTAAAACACATCCTGTATGAAGTAGTTTTGTCTTTCTTCCTCAGGCTTTCAAAAATCCTGACTATGGAGGGGAGATGGGGACACATTTAAAATTCTGTAGACCTTACCCATTAACATGGGGTCCAGAGCACATTTCTCCTTTTCACCTCCATGTTTAGAATGTTTGAATGCCTGTCTCCTGAATCTACTGCAAATTAACTCCAAAAGGAATATGTAAGAGCCAAAGGAAAGGGGTATGGAACATTCTAGGGTGTGTGTAAGACCCATGAGTGTGGAGAATTAAAGCTGTGGAGATGGGGTGGGCTTGGGCAAGTTATAAAGAAGGGAGGGTACAAACCCAGATCTGGGGTGGGGAGGAGGGTGAAATAGGCAGTTGCCTCCCCCAGCAGGCAGTTTAATATTTTTCACAGCCACTGTGTGTGTAAATTGCCTGCTGGGGCAGGCAACTGGTTCCCCGCAGATCTGTGCCTGGGTGGGTTTGCTCAGTGAACTCATTTTTGAGATTATGTGGGAATATGTATAGACTGGTAGTGGGGTACAATTTCATAAAGCTTAAGAGGCCGTTAGGATTGATTTTGTGTGCTTGTGTATGTGGATATAATACAGTATGGGGAGCCTACTTTTCAATACCTTTTGTCAAAGTAGGTTGCTGTAGGAAATAAAGCTACCAATAAAATTTTAGCATTGATAATAAAACATTGCAAAAGTGAAAAATACAGAAGGGATACGAAGGCAATGTCTATATTAGACTCTGGTCCCTTCTGCAGATTGTTGTCTGCTGGACGTAGGACAGTCTGAGATCCCTCAGTTCATATGATACATTATTATTCTGTTTAGGAATGCTGTTGGCCATCTTGGAGAAGTGTGGTACAATCCCTAAGATCCACTCCGCCAATGTATCTGAGGGGACAGTGGCTGCTGGCTACCAGGATTTCATAATCTGTGTGGAAATGTTCTTCGCAGCCATTGCCTTGCGTCACGCGTTCACATACAAGGTCTATGCGGATAAGCGTCTTGATGCACAAGGTATGGAGACAGGACAGTCCTGGAACTGTGGTGAGAGAAGGGAGATGATTCCAGATGAGTTTATTCATCCTCTAAGCACACCATGTGAACAAGTGAACAACATTTATCCTTCTGTCACATGTGCACACAGATCAGTGACTGATCTGGTTTCCATTTGACTGTGGAACTGTATCAAATGGGAAATAGCTTTAGAATAGTAGCCTTAATGTGAGGGGAATGGGTCAGGTGGTGATGGGAGATACTGACGGCAAAGAAGGCCAGAGATCTGCATCTTGTCTTGCAAGGATATATTTCCAGGGTGATCAGTAAAGGGAAGATTGCAGCATATGTTTTTTCCCTTTTTCTTAATACTAAAAATTGAGATGAGAGCCAATCCCTTTATATGGTCAATGCTTATTGTATAGATTCTGTCTGCCTATATGCTTGGGGAGGAGCAATGGATTAAGGGATGTGTTGAGCTGGGGGTGGGAGAGTAGGCTGGGAATCTCTCCTCCTAGAGGTTTGAAGGGAGAGAGAGCTAAGTAGCAGGGTTTTGCAATCCTATATAATGTGCTAGACTCACTGTGGAGTTGAAAATTATGACAATGTCCTAGTGGAGAGTGTGAGGATAACTTGCCTTTTCAGACTGTTGTTTCCCATATCTTCCTATCTTGTTTCTTTTTTCCCCTTCTCTTCTCTTTCCCCTGCTTTGGGCTCTGGTGTCTGGCGCAGCTGTTCCATCATATGGGCCATATGGTAGGTGCCGTGTTCTCTCCGCATTTGTGTCTCTTTTTCATTGTTAAGACACCATTTGCTGCTATTATTCCTTTCGGGTCCCTATTGTATCTGTTCTATGTGCTTACCATTATGTGTAACAAATGTACATATATGTACTTTAGGGGAATTATGAATGCCTTGGTATTCTTTGAAAGGTTTGCTGCAGAGACTGTGACTACCAAAGAGGCAGGTTGTTTTAAAAGTGGAAATGGCTTGTCTATCCAGAAACCTCTGTTGCATGCAAGAACCTCCACTGTGTACATATAATTAACCTTTAATGTGCCACAAGACTCTTTGTTGATTTTGTTGCAGAAGATTAGCTGTTAAACTGAGAGTTGCCTTCAAACTGTTGGCTATTCCCCAAAATAGTTGTATTTTTCTTTTTTTTCTTACCCATAAAAATGATATTCTTAACACATTGTCCAAAACATAGATTCCATAGTCATTTAAATGTAAAATATTAACGTTAGAAGATGACTGTTATAGTTGGATTGCTTGCTATGAAAAAAATTGGCAAGATTTGGAAGAGTCATTCCTCTTCTGCACTTATATGTGATGTACACCGTGAAGTTTTGCGATGACTCTTTTCTCTCTTCATTCTGGCTACATTTTCCATTCCTCATGTCAGCACACAAACAATGTCTGCTTTGGACACTTGACCTTTCCTCTTCTCTCACCATCTTTCTTTACCTCTGTCTTGCACTGAGGCCACCTCTGGCCAGTTGGTATGAAATTTCTTTTTTCCTGAATGCATTTCCGATTCCCACACTTGCACTTTTCTGTCCTGTAATCTTTCATCAACACTGAAAGTATTGCTTTGCAGCCAAGGTGATCTGCTGTCTGCTTTGCCTCACATGAGTCATCAGCATTTTGTATGTCAGCTATCTTGTTTTTATACACTTCTGATCTGGTGTAGCCAACACTTCTTGAGTTGCTAACAGTGGTTCCTGCACAATTAATGTCACTGTTATTATGCAGCTGGCAGCAGAAGCTATTGCAAGCAGCTTTTGTCCAAATTTATCAAATACCTGGGTGGGAAAAGTAGGATTTTCTATACTCAGTTATTCTCAATGTGGTATTTTTTCTCTTTAGGCCGTTGTGCCCCTATGAAGAGCATCTCTAGCAGCCTTAAGGAGACTATGAATCCCCATGACATTGTGCAGGATGCCATCCACAACTTCTCCCCTGCCTACCAGCAGTACACTCAACAGTCAACCCTAGAACACGGGCCACCCTGGCGTAATGGAGGTCACATCATCTCACGTTCCCACAGCAACTCTGGTGCCCGTGACAATGAAAAGACCCTGCTCCTGAGCTCAGATGATGAGTTCTAAGGAGGTGATGGATCACAGTGCACCCCGGAACTTTTCCTTTATTTATTGAACCAGCAACGCAGGTCATATCCCCCCCCCTTTTTTTTAACTGGTGCTCAAGTCAGGAATGGGCACTTCCTGTTGCCAATTGCAGGCATGGACCATTGTGGTTAATATGGGTGGTTTGGACTTTCATTCCTAGATTCTCCTCTAAAGGCTTAACTGGAGCATGTTTCATTTAATAAGGAAGATCTAGAGAATACTAAATCCTCCTGACATAGAATAGAGCAGTGGTCCAGGAAGAGCAGAACATGCTTTCTTTTGGGTGTTTTTTTTTCTGTTTTTCTGTTTTTTTAAGAGGAGGACTGGGGCTAGAGGGGATAAGCATGAGAAACTTGAAGAACTTGGGCTGTATCTTTACCCATTTGTTAAGCTGTTTGGAATGTGACTGGCTGAAATCAGAAGCAGCTGAAATTTGTTTTCCACACTGCACTACTAAGATGTACTTCCATACACTTCCTATTTCTTAGTAGTTATTTGGGATATATAGGTGGAACCCTATGCTTCAACACTGCCCCATTATTAACTTTGACTAATGTATGGATTGTAATTGGAATCCCCTTTGGTACATTCCATATGTGATCTGCCTCTGCCAATGATCAGCACTGCACATTTCAGAATGGAGCAATATTCTTCTTTAGAACAGGGGAGAAAATAAAGAGAAATGACTTCACTGAAATAGTGACCAGACAAAGCCTCTTTCTCCTTGTTGAAGTATGTTTGAGAGTTGATTTTGTGGCACATATTTGGCTCAACATTTCAAAACATTACACGGCACTTCCTGAAAATCTGTATTTGTGCCCCATCTGTGCAAGAAAACTTGTTTGGCAGAAGGTAAAGATCACAACTTGGAGGGAATCTTACATGGCATGCTGCCCATTATATAGGATGTAGATGCCAAGTGGGTAAAATATGCGCCTAAAACGCGCCTCTTGTCCATATACTTCTAATGGATGAGGAGCACTCCTTCAGATGTGCATTTGATGCATGGTGTCTGATCTAGCCACAGAATTCATACACAGATGTCTTTCCTGCACAGGTCTGCTGGTTAGTTCATGCCTCTGTTTCTAGTTTTCTCTAGTCATTATCTCATTCTCTCTTGCATTCTCTCGTGGAGGAGTTCTACTCACACAGACACTAAGGTGTCTTTACTGTATCTAAACTTCTTCCTAGAGATGCATATCCTTGTGCTTCAAATTTCAGAACATTTGTTGTAAGTTACCAGTTCTCCTTGCTGTTTTCAACATTTTACTTTCATTAAGAGTTAATTTTAAATGCCAGTGGGATATAGTTTGCCTGAGTTGGTGAATGTTCCATCTTCTTTTCCCCCATTCTTATATTGGGCCTGTTGCAGTTTGGCCAGTAGATGAAAACATACCAAGGTAGTATGTAGTTAGATATTATAGAAGGCCAGTACATTCTCTACATCCCAAATGATTTTTTTAAATGTATGTTGGTTTTCTCTGGACTTTGTTATGCTTGGCCTGAAATTTTATTAAAGATTGCTATGTGATAATTGTAAGACCCATTTATAAACTGAAAACATGCCAGTTGCTGTTTTTACCAGACAGCTCAGTGTGTTGATAATTTAAAGCTGTAAAGGACAATAGAATTACTTGCCGTGTAATGCACTTTTCTGCTACTGTTGTGGTTAATAGTGCCTGTATTAACCCTGCCCACAAAAAAGGGGAATAACATTAGACCTCTTCTTTCACTGACACCTTTCTCAATTCCTCTTCCTATCCACTACCAGTTATGCTGATTCTATTCTAAGCTGCTATATGTCTGTTCTCCATATTTTGTGGCTATTGAGCACCCGCACTCTTATAGTGCTTCTGTGGTGAGTCTGGATAGAAATGAGGATCTCTGGGGTTTAGTGCTTTTGTTGTTGTTGTTGTTGTTCCTTTTCTCTGTGCCTTAATATTCTTGCTCTCACACATGCCCCAAATCATGGTTAATGCAGCTCTCAGGAGCAGTCACGACACTTCTTGTCCAGGTTGTTCTTGTTTAGACAAGAGTATGTTTGCTTGGAACTCAGAAGGTTTGCTGATACTTGCAGTTCTTCTTCCTGGAGGCAAGGTTGTATTGCTGATGGGGCTTGCATTTTGCTCCTTCCAGAAGAAACTGGATAGGAGATGGGGCGCAACAGCTCCATTCATATTCCCTGCTCGAAAGAGCCAGAGGGGTTGACAACTCAGGTGAAGAGAGAAGTAGTAGAAGAGAGATCTAAAAGTAGCATGTTTCTGTAAATACAGAATCATCCCTCTCTTGGTAGTTACACCTGTGCAATATATTATTGTGGTTAACTTTGAAAATACTGTTGCTTTTTTTTTAAGGAACCCTCAGACCCACATGCTGTCAGTTTATAAGTGTACCCCGTGGGTAAGTTGTAGTATACCAAACAGTGATTTGTGCTACTTTAAGTGGTAGCATTATCCTAAGCCATTTCTGCCTTCTCTTCTAACACTAGATTTTGCTGAATTGAACTTCTGTGAGACCTCCTTATAGCACCTTGCCATAATATCACAACTACATTTTCACAGTTGTGCAACTCTCGATGCAGAAAGACTACATATAGCCTCTTGCGTCAGTTGTGGAACTGAGCTTAGGTCCCTATATCTTTGGGAAAGGATGGTGTTTGATGCCATCAGTAGGACTTTCTCATGTAATGGTATGATATACAGCCTTGTGATGCAGAGAGCTCTCTGAAATTATATTTTAATTTGTTGTTACTTTTCACTCTAATGTTGGATTATAGAAGATGTTGCCCTATTTTGACATACCTGTTTATGTGGGACCATTTCCCCCCCAGCCTATTAAACTTCTGTACTTATGTTCCCATTTGCAACAGACATCATTATATTTATTTGTGACAAGTCAGCAAGGTGAGCCCCCCTTTTGTATGGGATGGGTGAAGAGCATGGCTGAAGTCTGTACTGCTGACTTGTAGATATTTCAGCAGCTGGGAGGAGTTCTCACTATATATTTTATTATTTTTAAAAATGCATAGCTTATATAAATATATATTGTGCAGAAGAGCTGGCTTTTCTTGAAGCTTCCTTTAAGTAATGGTTTCAAGTAGGTATAACCCCCTCAAAGGAAGTACAAGGTCCAGTAGTAACAGCACTTCCCAACCTGGGACTCTCCAGAGGTTGACCTTCCATGCAGCAGTGATCATGCAATCCAGTTTGAGTTTCTCAGAGAATGATCATTCTAATATACATGTGTATACATCAATCCCAACAAAATACACCTGGTGCCTCTCTCATCTTTGCCCACCATCTCTTTCCACTCCTTGTTTTTTACCATGTAACATACCCCTCAAATTTCATTTTTACTATTTTTCCATGTAGTTTAGATATTTGTATATAAATGACTGGAGGAAAATACCCTGTATGATAAGAAAGAGTTACCTAGTTTTGTACCTATCATGTAATAACTGATGTGTGCTCAGAGATAAACTGTTGTCTCTGTTTTGTCTTTGTGATGTTATACTGCTCTGAAGAACAAGAAAATATGATGAATAAAATTATAGAGATAATATAGATTTACTTAATGTCTCTGGCTACTGATTTGTTAATATTGTGCATTGTCCGTTCCCCACACCCACATAGGTTCTCACTGTCAAAAATTTTGTACTTTAAAAGAAATGCCAATACTGCATAACTTACTCGGTATGTTGCAAATGTTGTAGTTAAATATTTTGATTGGGAGCACGATGGTGAGGGAACTACATGATGTACAAGGGTAAAGACTGGAGACCAAGGAGAAATGCAGGTACCCTTAGCCACTGGAATTCATTTTCCATTCAGAAAATCTTTGTTCTAATGTAAACTGAGCTTTGTTTGTTCTTTTTGCACATGTGGTCTCTCTTGCAGGTACTTAATATGCCTCATATAACCTATTCCTCACAACTTTTCCACTATACTCTTCCTGTTTGTTACAGGCAAGTATGAAAATATCAGTTAGTGAAAAGTAACGACTCTGGAAGGAGGACATGAATAACTTTTCAGTCCAGTCTCAGTTTCCATCTTTCCCTGGCACACCACTGCTCTTCATTTGTCCCTTCTCTTGTGGATGTCATCTTTTGATACCTAACTAATGAACAATGGTGACAATCTAGTGAGATGCATATGCCCGCCCCCGATTCCCTTGTAGCCTACAGTTTCTGTTGTGCAAGCAGTGGGTCCCACTGAATTCATTGCGCAAGCAAACAGGACCCACTGCTTGCACAACAGGGATTGGTGCTTGCCAGAAGCCCTGTAATAACGGAAACCTCATTTCTCAATTGGAACAGTCAGCAGAGCTTTTTGTGAGCTCTGTTAGCCAGCTCCATTCCAGAAATGAGAATTGTCACTCATTCTTCAGTCTCTGAGAAGCATTAAACCAATGTTTCATAAACAGTGGATGCCACTTGGAGACAGTAATTGGCAGGGTATAAGTGAATTGGCAGAAATGTAAGAACCCTATTGGATTCTGCTCCAAATCTTTGTCTTCTTACTAAACGGCTACGTTATGGTGAGCCAGAAATTGATCTGCATGATTTGAATAGGGACTTCAAAGAGCAGAGGATACTTGAAGTAGCACCATGACAGTCCCCAACTCATGTAACTTCTCCTAGTCTAGGGCTTTGTGTTTCTTCATGTCGTGCTTCTCCACATACACACGCCTTTCTTTTGGGGCATTAGGCAAAGGTGGATTTCATCACCTCTGTCTAATAGTGGAAACAGGAACCTTGAGGAGCTTGGCATGGCTAAGCAAGACCAGTGGAGTAGAACAGCAAGAGCACTGATTCAAATGAGCATCCTTGAGGCAAAAGATACGGATATGCCAAGCTGTGTGGTTGCTCATTCTAACCTTTGTAATCTCCATTTTTGAACTTATGTGCTGTTCACTTAGATATGCTTTATATGAAATCTAGCATCCTCAAAGTATTTAATGGGTCTTTAAAGGAAAAAAAAAGATACCCATGTGGCTGTTGTAGAACATTAAGTGTGTGTTAGCCATCCAGTTCTAGTCGTCATGAAAACAGCAAATAGCTGTTGCATGTGCAGCGGGAGGGGATATTCAACTTCAGTGCTGTTGGTGGGAGGCTTAATCTCTCCTGCTTGATTACCTCGTCCAGTTACCCAGCAGCTCAGAAGAAGGAAAAGGAGTTGGATATCACCATGCTCTTTTTTCTCATTGCCTCAGTGCTTCCTCTGGGCCCAAGAACAGTTTGTTTGTTTGTTTGTTTGTTTGTTTGTTTAAAATTTTTATATGCCGTCCCCTTGCTATATAGCCTCGGGACGGCTCACAGAAATAAATACAAAACAAATAACAATTACAATTAAAACCCAGAAACACACTGGCTGCACAATTAAAACCTATAAATATTAAACATTATTAAAATATTGTTTGAATAAAAAGGTCTTGGCCTGGCACCGAAAAACAAATAACGGCACCAGGCAGACCTCTCTGGGGAGCGCATTTCACAGATGGGGTGCCACTGCAGAGAAAGCCCTCCTCCGGGTACTTTGCTTCCTGATATCTCTCACGGAAGGCTCCCGGAGGAGAGCCTCTGCTGCCGATCTCAAGGGCAAATATTGTTCAGGTAATCCCACTTCCTGAGCCTTCAAGCAGTAATCTAAGCTGCATCCATTTCCTGTTCTATTTCTATCTCCAGGAAACCTTTGCTTGTGAGTAGGCCTTTATCATAACCAGGCTATAGTCTCTGCTTCTGGTTGGGGGCATTTTAGGATCTATGCCTGTGACCTTATACTTCCCGCCTTCTGGTCTTGTTGCCAGGGAGATAGGACCACATCCCACCTTTTCAGCCAGTCCTTCGACCCTGTCTCCTTCACTACATTTCCTTGGTGAAGATCTGGTACCTACATTCACTATGGTAGGATTAACCTCCTGTTCATGCAATAACATTAGTGAAGTGATAAACTTCCTCTTATTTCTAGAAGGGTAACAGCTATTTCAGAAGACTACTAGCTAATGGTGAGTCTACATTTTCACTTCCCTAAAAGCCTGTTGTCAGTGGTGGATTTGGACAGTACTGCAGGAGGACGGTGAAAGATTAAATTTAAACCTTACATAGTTGTGCGTTCTGGAACTTGCCAAAATTGGCAGCAAATAGCACAAAATGTAGATTAAAATTTAGATTCTGGGACTGGATTAAATTCCCCCCACACTTTCCATTTGCCTGTGCCATGCACTTTAGTTCATATGGGTGAGCTTCTTACATCTCTCTAATCAGCAGAAAGTTTGATGTAGCCTGCTTTGTTGCTGCTGTGCTTTGCAGCACCTTTGGGTGTGAAATAAATGTTCCTATAAAGCACTGACAGGGAATGTAGGGTTCAACCCTCCAGATCTTGTTGGACAGTAGCTTCCAACAACTCTAGCCAGCATTGTCGGTGGTGAATGCTGATTGAAGCTGTGGCCCTTCAGAAGTTGTTGGGATTGCAGCCTCCATCATCCCTTACTATTGGCTAGGCTGACAGGATTTGCAGCCCAACAACATTTGGCAGACCACACATTGCCTACTCTGAAGTAAATAGGAAGAACAAATGTTCTCAGGAAGTGGAACATTAACTCTGCACATCTTCACCTGCCAATTTCAAGCTATACTTTGTGCTGCTGGAAGGAGTGTGGTTGAATTGGTTCATACGTTCAACTTTAGCAGGAAGGTTCAGCACTGCAGGAGCTTCTGGAACATGGTTGTCAATTACTGCAAGGATTTTTCCCATATCATGGGCCAGTTCCTGGTGCACCAGATGAGTTCCTCTTCCTTGGATTCTTACGAAGAGTACCAGATGTAATGTATCTCAATTTAATCCCACAATGTACTTCTAATGTTTATAAGCAAGGATGCAGGATTACTTATGCATTCAGAAGGATGCAGATTATTTATGCCTTAACTATGAAGGGCCAAACCTGACCTGACATTATTCACCCAATCAGCAACTGCATTTTTTTAAAAATGAGGCTTTGATCCAGATTCACATTGTGGCTGGAAGAAACTTTAATTCTTTGTCCTGACCTTGATCCTGATACAGATACAATCCCCCTGCAATTTGTATCAAGAGGAAAACATCCACTATCCTGGAAGAAATATCCAGGGGAAAGGGGAGGAATCTGGATTGGGACTGTGGTGGGGGCAAAGTGTTCAAGTCTTCTCTGTTTGCACAGTGTTGCTCTGGATCACCTCCCATTCCCATTGCTTTGCCAGTCACATTTTCAAAAAAATGAGTGAATAACAACAGATCAGTTCACCCTTAAGAGATCCCCTGTATGCATGCTTGATATAGTTGTTCTTTGTCTTCTGGCATTGTTGATCTAGTGCTTATGATTATTTGAATATTTATCTATTTAATTTATTCATTATTTTTATATCCCAGTATATAAAAATCTGCCTCTTGCAAGGAATGCAAGATGGCTTCCAAGGCTTTCCTCTTCAGCAGCAACCCTATGAGTTAGGTCAGAGTGAGAGTCAGTGAATGGCCAAAGTTGTCCAGTGAGCTTCATGGCTGAGTGAAAACTAGAATCCAGTTCTTTCCAAGTCCCCAGTCCAACACTCTTAACTACTATACCTCACTACCATTTACTTGAGTTATATTTCACCTTTTGGATCTCAAAAAAGTAATCACAAGACTCACTCACATCTAGGCATTGACCAGACCCAGATGGAGGACTCTAGTCACTCTCTCATTCATTAGTTTGTAACATAGAAGTGAGCATTTAACACTTTCCTCTGGTTCTCCAAGAATTATTTTATTTTTCTGGTGTTTGTAATGTACCCTGTCATACAAGCAGAAAATACATGTGTTATCAGATAAGTGTTGGAGGAAGTTGCTCAATGTAATATCTAAACCAAACTTTGACAAAGGAAATCTATCTAGACAAGTCCCTCCCAGTTCAAAGTATACCCATTTTCCTTCCTGTAGGCAAGATACAAACAGTGGGCCAAGCCAAGTTAACATGGAGACCACGTGCCCTTTGAGCTGCTGCTGGAGACCTCTTGTCACTTTCCACATAGCCTTTTCGTAACTTAGGTGTTTGTTTTCTTGTGCATGGGAAGAAGAGCCTTGCTCTAGAGCAATGGCAAAGCTAAGGAATGTGGACTGGGTGAGGCCTCTTGCCAAACTCTCTGACCTCCAGGTAACATTCCAGGGATTCTTTCACATGCTTGCTTCAACTGCCCTGCTTGCTGATCCTCTCATTTTTAGAATAGTTTTTAATCTGGCACGTATTCCTCCCTCATTGGGCTTTATATGCAAAAATTCCTTGTTGAAGTATTGTGATTGTGTATGTGGGGAAACCTTTGCTGTGGGAATGGCAGTTGTCTATCAAGACAACATTGCTGGCACATTCCTCAGATGCTGCTGTTGTGGTTCTCTTCAAAGTCAAAAAACTTGAACCAGAGTCTGTAAACAGTTTTTTCTTCATTAATCCAACTTAATTCTTCAGTGTTATGGACACCATGTTTAGCATCAATGAAGTTAGATTAGATAATCACATTAGATGGATATGAAAAGAATTCTAAAGTTATCACATTCAGTTTTGGAGAAAGATATACTATGCATGAAAGGCCTACAGACTAACTCATATGATTTAAGAGAGAGGTGAAGAAACTCAGGCATGGGGGAGGGAGTGCTAAATTTGGCCTCCTTGGGCTTCCCCAATACACCTGTCTAGGATTCCCTGAATCACTATGCCCGCTTTTCTCCAACCACTGATCATTGAGTGGTTTTCTGGCTTTTGTACAGTTTTTTTCCCTATTTTAAAAGGTTGAAATGCCTCTTCCAAGGTTTAGTTACTGGCAGAAAGAGCTTAATGCTAAAATATACTGAAAAGTTTGCATTTTTGAGCCTGTTCCTTTTGCCTTTGGCTGTGTCCCCTTTGCCTTCAACCCCACTGACCCATTGGAAAGCCCCCCTTCCCACCAGAGCTTCCCTGAAATGGAATTCAGCCCCCAGACTGGAAGAAATTTCCCATGATTTAAGTTGCAACATGCTAGAAGCAGTAATTTAAGCAAGCTGAGTCTTAAGCAGCTTGCTAAATGCAAGAGCTCTGCCCAAACTGGTTGGTAGGTTTCTAATATTAATATAAACTAATTCATGAACCAGCTTGGACCATGACCACCTTTTCAAGGTGTTGGAAAGGCCATGAAACAACACAGCTCACAACATAGTCCGTGTTTATTTGATGGTTACAAGGCTTTCCAAAGTTAGTTTGGATTTCATTGTGTCACATGATGAAGCAGTCATACAATTCAAGATGCACTCAAGTCAGGAAGTTGCCTTGTGTTGAGTTAGATGATAGATCCATCTAGTTCTGTGTTATCTACACTGTGAAGGTTCACTCCTATGGCCTCCTGACATCACCTAGGTGCCCACAGGATTCTTTGGAGTCCCAGCACTTAAGTCATCTGATGCTTGGTATTGAGACTCCAGTGACTGAGCTTCCACCCCATAGCCCCTCTGCAGCTGGTGTGGATAGATCCACACCAGCTGCCTCTTCCAGGAGCTTGATGTACCTTGGGAAGGAGGGTAAAGGGGAGACAGGGAAGGAGGCATCAGTTGCAGGTGTCTCTTCAGAGCTTCCTGCCATCCCTGGTGCTTTTCTAGATGGCTGAAAATGGCTGTCCAGATAAAATGTACAAGATGAGGTGCAGCAGCAGTGAAGATTGCTATCACCACATCTCGCTCCAGCCACTGGATTTATATTAACCTTTGAGTTTGGAGACTTACGTGTATCAAGGTCGGGATAGAAGACTGCACATTTAGAAGCTTTCCAGTACGTGACAGGATTTTCCCAGTCCTATTTAGAGAAGGCAAGAATTGTACTATTGTGTTACAAATTTATGGCATGAACAATTATTGGAGAATCAGTGAGATATATTCCTATCATAAGATGAAAAACACAAGTTAAACAGCCTGTATCAAGCTCAAATTAGTGTCCCCAACCTCATTTTCCTGTAAAAAAAACCTTTTGTAGGAACCATATAACCACAATTCTGACTTTTAGTAATTGAATTCATGTTCCTTTCCCTGATGGAAAATCTAATTTAAATTCACCTTAGTGACATTTTATGTATTTTCTATAATGACATGGTATCTATCAAAAGTTAAACACCATTCCTACTGAAATGGATAGGACTTAAGTATTATACAGCCAAAATGATCTGTTAGGTTTGTTTCTGTGCCTCCTTTAAACTCCTTTGTTCACACAGGCATATAGCTTATTCTATAGTGTTGGAGTTCACACCTACTGTAGAAACTGGTAGGTACTGGTTATCATGTTTATTGCTGTTGAATAAAGACTTGGCCACTATTGTTCAAAGGCAGAGATTAATTTGTGGTTCATTTTCACCAATTTTTCTGGACAAGTCCTAAAACTGGCCGATAGCTTCTCTGCCTTGCACCTTTCATTGGATGAAAAGAGTTTGAAAAAAGCACATACCACTTGTCTTCAGCTTCTCCATTTTGGAAAAAAAATTCTGGCTTTATTTGTAAAGTCTACAAAATACAGAGGAGTCTGGCAGGACACTTACTGTAAGTCAGAAAATAAATAAGTACTTTTTTCTTGCTCTATAGAAGATAAAATGTGATTTGCATATATAAAATATAAAGTACGGCTCTGGTACCAACATCCTGGCCACAAGGCGGAATGGCATAAAGGACGTGAAAATAACTTATATTCGTGCAATAAATAAATCACAGGGTTGGAACAAGGGGGAAACATGGGTGGGGGAATTGATAAAGAAGGATAATCAAAGGGTAGAGGAAGAAGGATGGACGGACAACACTGATTTGAAAGCTGATTCCATCATGGGGGTGGGTGTCATAGTAAGCTGCAGGGTGGGTGAACCCAACCATATGTCTAAAAATTAAAGAGTTACTTGTCATTTAAATTAGTCACTATGGCACATGCCTGGAAGTGACTGCCCACAAACACTCCCTGGTTTCTATGTTAGCATATTAACGTAATGGTGGATGCTACCTCCCATACCCACCTGATCTAAACCCCTCCGCTGCTCTTATCTAGGCAGAGGCTCCTGCACCCAAGCCATTCCTGACCTAGTCACTTGCCTGCTTCTTAAAATAGTCAGAGAAGTGGACCTGGGCAGTCTCCCTTGATATAGATGGCTCTGTTTTTGTTTTTACCTGTGCCCCAAGATTCCAAGCCCAGTTAGAAACTCAGTGACAGACGAGCTAAGATTGCTTGTGCAGTGGACTTGGAGATGGGCATCAAGTTTAAAGTAAGTGCTGATTCCCATAAGTGTGGCACCCGCACATCACTGCAACGCACAAGGTATAGATCAACTTTGCATACATAGGTGCAGACAACCTCGTTTAAACTGAATATTGCTTTCATGGAAGCCTGTCTGGATAATGTACATATTTTTTTTAAAAAACACTTTAAAGTCATATTTAAAGCAAGTTGATACTGGGGTTCTGAATGGCACCACTACTCATTCCTGAGGAACAGCATTAATCTACTGTGGCATTTAAGTATGATTGCTGAGGAAATGGGAACAACTCTCAAACACTGAGTGATGGGCAATGAGTTTCCCTTTCTACTTTAAGTTAATGAGTGGCGCAGTATGATTCACAGTGCCATCTTATGTAAGACTATTAAAAACAATTCAGCAGGATGTGTTCCCAGGTAAATTAAAAGAGAGAGGGAGAGAATATGCTCTTTAAAGTATAAGGATTTAAATGCTGTGGGACATGAGAATTCCCAGTTCTGTTACTTGGCTCCACTTAGCAAAGCCCTCCTTCCATTTGACTCAATTTCTCCACGGAAATCTGTAACAATTTGGTGCAAATATTAATTTTGGAGGAACCCTTTATTTAAATATATGCAACTACTATTTTGCTGCCCTGTGTGAGAATGAATCCTTTGCACATGTGCACACACACATTTACAACAGGGAAGGGCATTTGTGTTTCTTCTGATCCATTTTCTCCCATGGTGGCATCTCTTCCCTGTTCCATACAGCTGCATGGGATCAAGGGAAGACTGCATGCCAGCAAATGATAGGAGACATCATATATCTACATTAATGGACTTTCAATGGAACCCATTTCTCCATTCCGTTTTAGGGAGCAAGGAACTCTCCCCACATACTTCTAGGATGAAAAAAATGGGTTTGAAAGTTTTGCCATTAGCCTAGAGCTCCTAGAATTCTGCTGCCCTAGGCAGTTGCCTAAATTGCCTATTAAGCTAGGCCAGCCTCTTGTGTAGCCAAATTCTGCTGAAACCACATTTTCTTTCATCTCTGTGAGAGCTATGTACAGTTCTCTCCTGATGCTCTAGTTTTTCCAGCAGATGAAATAAATGGAAAGAAAATATGGAAGGAAAATTATCTCTATTATGTTTGATTCCCATTTCCACACAAGTTGATCTAGCATAATAATAAAAAACACTTGCCCACTAAATGGATTCCTTTCCAGTTGGATGAATTATGCCTCTTGTTTTTTCTTCAGTTGTTACACTCATTGTCATATACTCAACATGAAAACGGCAAAATTTGGTGAAAAACTACCATGTGTACCCCTCTGGAATCCATTTCTTCTAGAACTGAAAGTTTTCCTTGGATGTTCTATATACTTCTCTTGCCCCTTCTCTATCCTGCAGTCTCACTTGCTTCATCCTTCTTTCTCCTGCCTCACTGCACCAAATTCCCTCTCTATTTTCTCTGTGTTTTCCCTCTTTAGAAAGTTACTTCCCTCCCCTGCCAGAAATCTTGTAACCTCAGACCAAAAGCACTATTATAATAAAAAAGTTCACCTGAACTAAGGTTACGTGGACACACAGCTAGAGACAGAGGCTGTCTCTTCTAGCTACCAGGGTGTGCAATATTATGTCATCGTAGTATGGGATGGCAACAGCTGGCTGTGCTCTTGGCATGCACCTCAATGACCGCTCTCCTCTCATCATTTAAATTGATCACACAGCAATAACTGCCTTCTTGTCCCTTGCTAGAACTAGTTTCCTTTTTCCTTTCCTCATATTAAGCATGTCCACTAATCCAAAGCTCATTCTGATTTGGATTGCTCTTATTAGAGCTGGTTCAAATAACACCAAATCCAAACTGACGGGAACAGGGAATTTCTGAGTCAGAGAGTATACAATGAAGAGGGAAGGCAGAGGCACAACATGGGCCTGCAGGGCTTTGTCAGAGCAGGGCCACTAAGAGATTTGGGAATTTGGTAACTTCTGGTGATATACATAGTTCATTAAGTGCATTTCTAATTATGAACAAGAAGGTTTCAACCTAACATCCATTTTGCTTCATCACATAGAAGTTATTTCCTTTTTGCTACCCTCACAATCAAATATTTTCTGAAGCTCTGCTCTCAACTATAACAGAGATATCATCTCTAGACCTATCATACTACATTAGCTTGAAGAACATGTGGAAAGATAAGAGAAGAAAACTTGACAAACATAAAAGGGAAAAAAGTGGTTTGGGGAAGGAAAAAGTGGGGGAACTGGCCACTGCATTCAGATCCATGGATAACAATAACAACTACAATTATGCACAACCTTCCCGCCATCTCCCAGTGACGGTAACAGGCAGAGGAGGAAGCTCGACATTCAACCATTTTGTCTTCAAGCCAATTCTGTCTCCTTCAGATGGCAGAAGAAATGTGGAGGAAGAGGAAGGGCCAGTGCAGTTACAGCTGTTCAAGGTGAGAGCTGGGCAGAGGCATGGCAACAGGACTCAGTTCGCAACTTGCTTTGTAGGCACTAGGAGTATGTGGCCTGATTGGAGCCAGATTTGACAATAGTAATGACGCTGGCAGTAGCTACCTTGGCAGTAGTGCCATGAGCGGTGACTGTGCGAGCAAAGCCCTGCAGGGCCTCATACTTGCCACGCAGGGCATCCAGCTCAAGGCGCATGGCGGCATTCTCACGCGCTAGCTTATCCACTTCCCTTTCCAACTCTGTCTTCTGCTTCTGCAGCTCTTCCTTCTGACACACCCGTTTGACTCGGCAGCTGGCAGCATAGCCACGGTTCTTCAGCGTGCGCCGACGTTGCTTCAGTCGCGCCACCTCCTCCTTGGATAGGCCTCGCAGGTGGTGGTTCAGTTCCCGCACTGACAATCCCATTAGCTCCTCATCTGAAAGGTGCGGCGTGTTCTCACCCATCTCCCGTTTGATCTATTTAAGAGAAGAAGCAGGGGATACAGTATCAAATATCAGAAAAGCACAAACGGAACAGATGAAAAGAAGACCATGTAAAGATAACAACTCAGAAACACAAGAGAATTGAGGCCTAGTACTATTTTGCAGCAAGAAAAGCCAAGTTTTGTAATCAACAATATGCAAACTATAAAATGCATATATTTTGCCAATTGTACTAATTTTACACACTATTTACTTAAAAATGGCCAAAGACTGTAAGTTGTAATGATGTAAGCTGCTCTAAGCTCCTTGAAAGGAAAAACGGGGATGGATGGATGGGGAGGCGGCTGAGGCTCATGGCTAAGGCCATATCCAAAAGGTGCCCCAGCTTCCATCCCTCTCTCTCCACCTGAACAGCTGAAATGGCACTCTAAATGAAATGCAGGGCACAGGACTACAAAGATTGCTGTCACTGCAACTTGCAGTTGGTGCACATGAGCTGAGGTGTTTGGAGGCTTATGTGCATTGCAGATGGAGACCGCAGGATTGTGCTCTTAGTGGATTCAACCCAGTGACTATAAAACAGTTAAGTAAAATGTCAATATAAAACAGAAGTACAACACAGATGCTTCGAAACAGCACAGGGAAAAAGTCATCTTGTGCCAGCACCTCCAGATTAAAATGCAAGGCCCTCCTGCATCAAAAAACAAACCCGAAATGCACTGAAAAGCACAAGGGAAGTCATCTTGCAGAGACTGTTCCCCCCCCCCCCATCTTGCCCCTTAACTACACAATTACAGCAAATCAGCAGAATGTTTTCACTGCTCTTGTTTTTGAATGGAGAAGTGACATACAAAGCAAGAAACAACAAAAGCTACTTCTCCTGACCACTGACTGCTGGTGATAGAATATCTAGACATGATAAGAAATCAAGTGGCTCTTTGTTACTTGTTGCTGGGTTCACACAAAATGGCAAGATGCACTCCGTAGCAAGCTACTCAACGTGGCTTATAAACCGCCCCACTCCTGTAGTTGTCAACTGATGATCTGGCACATTGTGGGTACGGTGCTTCTCCTTTTACCTTGACCCTCCCACCGGTAGCCTAGGTATTCCAGATATCTGCTCAGCCTCAGGAATTTTGACAAAATACATTAATTCCCTGGCACTTCCTTCCTTCTCAAGCCTCATGGGTGGGTGTGCTCATCTTTCACCCTGCTCTGGCAGGTCATTTCAAATGGAAGCTGTTCTAAATTAGTTTGTTTAGCTTCCCCTTCCTTGATTGTCCAAACTTATAAAGTTCTTCAGAGCCACTCACCTGCTGGGGCCTGGCAGAAGAGGGCAGCGAGCTGCATTTCTGTGCAGAGCCCAGAAGTGGGATGGAGTAATACATCCGCCTCTGCCTTTCTCTGCTGACTTGCCTATGACTACCAGGCTAGCGCTTAAATACAAGGTTCTTGTGGTCCCAGGAATGCAAAAACAATGGTAACAATTTCAAATTGCATTTTCTGTGCTCATGTCTTGCACAGTAGGGGATGGGTGCATGTGAAGGAAGCGGCTTAATTCTATATTTGGGGGAAGGTCTTAGCCCACTAATGTTTCTGAGGAACATGAGTTTGGGGAGGCAGGGGGCAAAGGCTTGCCATGGTCTCACATCAGACCAATGTCACTACTTGTACCAGAGTAAAGAAATGTTAAAGGAAAAAAAATGTAACTGAAGGTGAGATTCACGGGAATCCAGTACAACAAAGCAGTGTTGTACGAAGTACATCTCAGAAAAGAGCAGATCAAATATACATATACGCACACCAGAACAATCACACCATTAGAGGAAAGGGCTGGAGGAAGGACACCAACAACACTCTTCCTTTTTATGTTCCACCCTGTCTGGAACCTTTTGTAGAAAATGTCTGCTCACTTTCAAACAGATTTTAGCAACCATGAGGATTGGAAACTTGATTTCCCCCCCCAACAATGTAGAAGGTCCAAACTTTCAGGGCCCTCCTACACTAGCTATTGGAAAGAATGTAATTCTAAAGTACCTTCTGCACATGCATTTACAAGCTCTGCAAATAGGAGTGGAACAATAATATAGGCAGGAAAGCAGCTGTGAAATAAGAAATGGAGGACACAGAGAAGAGAGGAAAGTGGGGAGAGCAGGGACAAGAAGGTAAGAGAAGAGACATAAAAGGTGGGCAGAACACATACTTTGCTCACACATGTCCAAATTGTTACCAATGGGTTTTCCGTGACCAGGTCCTTAATGAAACATCATCATCTCACAGGGAATCCAAGATGGGTAAGAAACCATAAAACAGTACAGCCTACACTGATAGCCAGTGTGGTGTATTGGATAGACTACTGGGCTGGACTTAGAAGATCCAGGTTCTAGTCCCCACAGCCATGAACCACACTGACTTTGGGCAATAGCTGATTCTCAGGCTAACCTACAACATTACAGGGCTTTGAGCAGCCTTGGGTTCCTTGCAGGAAATATGGCAGGATATAACCAGAATAGATAAAATAAATATAAACACAGCTAAAATATTAACAGCACTGAACCCGACTGGAAGGGAGTTCCATAGTTGGGGATGCTACCAGCAAGACAGCTTTGCCTTCGAGGGTCTCACAAGCAGAGTCTTCCTGGTAGATCTTAAGTCTCTAGTTGTTCAGTACCAGGGAAGGTAACCCACCAGGCAGCAGATTCTCAGTTGCCCATTCAAATCAGAACCAATGTTCCACACCAGAGTATGACGTTGGCCTACCTTTATGGATGGAAGGAAAAATAGGTTTACTGGGAGACCCACCATCATGGCCTGACTTTGCTTTGATTTACAGACCAATGAGAACCATGACTGAATGAAGCTTGCTCTTTAGCGCCAGTCAGGTCTTACCTTTAGGGCTTTGCTTGACAAGCTGTCAGCTGACATTCTCCCTTGCTCTCCTGCTGATCCCCAGGAAACAGCCTGTAACTGAGTGGGACAAAAATAAATACATAAACAAATATGAAAGTATGAAGTATTCACTCTGCTGTATTTTTATGTTCTTTGGGAAAAGGTGACGTGTTCCACACAGAATTATCCCCTCCTTCTACTCTGCCTGTTGTCTTCCAGTCTCATCCTCCTTAGCCATCATGCCAACAGAAAGACATAGAACAGACATTTGGATGCTTCCTTAGGAAAGCCATTCTTGTGTGGGTGGAAGTATTCTTTAATGCTCCACAACCCCTCAGTCCAGCAGAGAGAGAGAGAGAGATACCAGATCGCTGATCCAGCGTTAGAATGAGTCATGCGTGTTGGTTTGTTTTGCTTTTAACAGGTTTTTTTTTTAATCCTTTCTAATTTGTCCAAAATGGGCTGCAAGAAGAGCTTAGCGCTGATGCTTTCCAGCAAATTTTCTACCTATCCCAAACAAAGGATAATCAGATGTTATTCATCCTCTTTCTCTCCAGCTCCCACTGTAGTCTTTCTATACTGGACATGCCCTACAGCTACCGGAAACTGCACAAGGGCAAACATTTCCTGAGAGGGAGGAAACAGCATGGTGGGAGCCAGCTGGCGGGCGTGTCCCTGAAATGCCAGTGCCTGAAGAGAGAAACGAGGAAGAGAATACAGGCAAGATTTATGTGCTCAGCAAAGTGCGCCAGGTCGCTGGGAAAGAATGCGTCTAATAAGAGAACCCCCACATCCTCAGGGACAGATGTATAACAAATTTTCTTCTCTCTGGGGCATGTATTAGCCAGCTTTGCCTGTGGTCAGGTGTCTGAGACGTTTGGGAACCAGCTGTTTTGTAAAGGGATCAGAGCCTCTCATTTATTTCTACTGGAGGAAGCTCTTGTGCGGGCATTGTTCTGTTGCTGTAAAACCTTCGGCAAAAATCACCCATTCCAGCAGGCTGCTATCTTTCCAACCCTCGGTTAATGTTTTTCTTTTTCTGGTACAGTGTTGGCATCCAGCCACCTTTTTGAGTTCTGACAATGTCCCTGACCTAATGTCACTCTGAGAGCACTGAATCTACCTGAATGCTATGCCAGTCATCTAAAGACCTCTGGAAGCTTCCTCTGAGGAAAGGCTCAGAAGGTAGCAACAAGGGAGGGCCTTCACAGTACTGGCCCCCCAACTGTGAAATGAACTTTCCAGTGAGACAATCAGGCACATTGTTGCTTTTCAGCACCAGTGATTTGGCAACATATGATAAGTTTTTAATCAAATCATGGACTATTGTTTAAAAATATGTGTGTGTGTGTGTGTGTGTGTGTGTGTTTTCTGTTTACATGTCTGTAGCTAAATTCATTTTATGTTACACACAATGCTTCTTGCCTTGTCTTTTTTCATTTCAGCAAACCACTCAGATTACTTTAGCTATTGGGAGCTTTACAAATATAATAAATGAAACGGAACTGTGGGAAATTAAAAAGGCACCTAGAGCTTGCTGCCCAGTGCTGCTTGGGATTCTGATAAGCTTACTACAGGGAGGGGGGCACTGGAGGATACTTTGCCCAAGACCCCTTCAGACCTGGAGCTAGTCTTTTCTTCAGGCTCTTGAACAGAAGCCCCATCCTGAGAGTTTTTGCCATAGAGTGGCGCACTCAGGCTGCACAGGCACCCAGAAGCACCCCATGCTAATATGCAGTTTGAGACTCCTCTCAAATCCCTCAAGTAGAAATACAATGGAGAGTTGGAGTAAAGAACATTTCTAAGCTTGCAGGCCAAACTCTATTTCAGAAAAGCTTTTGGGGCCAGGTTCCATTGAGGCCAGAGGCAAAGGGTCAGGGACAGGAAGCAAAAATATCAGCACATTTTGGCTTAAAGCTCAACCAAAGTAACGAACTATGGTTTCTTAACCATACACAACCCAGAAAGAGAGCCCATGATTTGTTGTTGGGTTGTGATTTCTTAAGTTGTTCATGGATTGTTTCACCGGACTAGAGAAGCAACAGGCAAGAAGGGTTAAAAACAACAACACAACAGCCATTCGACATGCCAGGATTACAGCTCCTCAAAGGCATTTGGGATACAGGGAAGGAGAAGGGAAACAAATGACCCAGAGATTGAGAAAACAAACCACAGTTTGTTTGGTTGTCTGCCAAACAAACCCTGGATAAAACAACAAACCTTAAGTTAAATAAACCATGGGTACGTGTTCTCTGTGAATCATGTCAGTTAGTATGTTCGGTCTTGGCTATCATTATGGTTGTTTATGGAAAAAGCTAGCTTCTCTCAGAAAAGACAAAATGAAAGCCTCCCAGCTTGAGTCTGAGGTCAGCATTTTTTTTTTAAAACAAGGCAAACACATTTCTTCATTTCACATACTCTGTAAAGTCCCAGGAAGGCACAAGATTTCATGTGGATTTCTCTAAGGCTCACACAATTTTCCTTGAGTAATGGCTTGCCCCCCCCCCCCCATACACAGAATGTTAAGAGTCCAGAATTCTGTCCAGGATGGACAGATATATATTCTCCTCTGAATGTGAGCAGTAGGTGGAGGGGAAAAGTTAATTGTGCCTCTTTATTTTCCTCATAATGAGACATGTCCAGGCAGGAGATTGGGGACAGATGCAATTGAGATGGGCACAGACCCAGGAGCTAGAAAAACAACAGGCTTCTGAGTCTCGGAGAACAAACACAACAGCCTGTTTGAGAAGGGCAGAACCTCACAGAGCCAGCTGAGATGGGGTACTGCCATCTTGCTTCTCACATTCATTCAGACAGTGGAACTTGAGGGCAGTTTCTTCCAGAAATGAAAGCTGGTCCAAGTTAGAGCCTAGACCACACATGCAACTCAAGACTTCTGCACAGCAAGCAGAAATGCACTCAATTTTTTTTGGCGGCTGCTGAGACAGCTTAGGCAGGGCAGCTGAGTTTCTGTGGGAGGACAAACAGTACCTGTCTGTACAGTCAAATGACATTCAGGATGGGAGGCATAGCAGAGTCCTGAATTAATAATCTTCCTGAGCAGGCACAAATATATCCTGGTATAAATAAATTGGCCTGATTATGCTACTGGGCAGTCAGTCAGTCAAGCTGTAGGGAGGTGATTACTTAAAGAACCTTGCCAGATAATCATTTATTCTTACAAAAAGCACAATATAATTCATGTTAGAGATCCAGGAATCTTTATTTTTCTGATGCAGTGAGTGTTTAGTGGGGAAGAGGGGAAATTCTATGTTTTTTAGTACTTGACCTCAAAAAATGAATCACTGGAAAGATATGCCTTCCTGAAATACTTAGAAAGGAAATATTTCCTTAGGTTGTTTGACTGCTTTGTAGTTATCATAAGCAGAAATCATTTTATTGACACCTGTTAAATGGTACTCATCTGTCACCTTCTTTTAAGGCTTGGTTATTCAACCTCCTTCAGCTTAAGGGCTGAATTCCATTGTGGAGAATCTCATGGAGGCTGCTGTGTTGATGAGTGAAACTGAAGGCGAATTGGGCATGCTAAAGACAAAAATTGTAGGGTCTGAAATATTAAACCTATTTTCAATTAAAGCAGTTGCCCGTAACAAAGCCTTATGAGAGACATTTCTCTGTTTTAAGATGCATGATATTCTTTTAAAAAAGGAGATGAACATAAATCTCACTGTAGGAAGTTGATTCGTGGGAGGTTTAGGACAGATAAAAGGAAGTACTTCTTCACACAGCATATAGTTATACTATGGAATTCACAACCATGGGAAGTGGTGATGGCCTGCAATGTGGATGACTTTAAAAAGAGATTGGACAGATTCACAAGGAAGGAGGCTGTCAGGTTTGCTGGCTATCTGGTACCTTCTTTATCAGAGGTGCCATGCTTGCATATACTAGTTGCTGGGCAGGAGGAGGTCTTGCAGCCGTCCTGCTTCGACAGTATAAATGAATGCCGTCCAACATGCCCTGTACTTGACAGTCTCAGTCAGTTCTTGTAAATGCAAGGCTGAGGCTTCCTTTAGGGAGTCAATCCATCTCATATTTCAATCAAATAATATATGATTGTTTAAATAAATGAATAAATAAAACAAATCAGGTTTTTGCCAGTTAGCAGGTAAGAAGAAATCAAGTAGGCCTCTCTTGGGAGGGCAGGCTATAGTTCAGGGGGATGCTTCCAGGACTAAAAACTACACTTTCTTTTACCACCTGGCAAGGATTAAGAGATTGTGTAAGTTTAATTTTGTGAGTATGTAAGTTTAACTTTGTGTAAGTATTTGTGAAACACAAATAGCTGCAAAGGTGCCCTTGAGTTTCTCCCCAGTTCCTCTAATATAAAGCTTGATATGGCCAGGAATCTGTGTGTTGATCACTGTGTTGATTGTTAGTAACAAGGATGCACTGTGTAACTATCTAGTATTTGCTGAGCATTCCTTTCTGCCATTTAAAAGCATGTTGAGGCAGGCACAGTATCCCCTCCGATCACTTTGCTGCTGTGCTACAGAGAAGAGTTGGCCTTCATTTGAGCAGCACTGTCATTCTCCTGAAACTGGCCATGCCATTAAACGAAAACAAGGGGGAGTGGCACCGGAAAGACTAACAGGTGTACTATAGTACCAGCCTGCATAGATTAGTCCACAAAACCTTATGATAACAAACTATCTATTAGCCTTTAAGGTGCCTAAAGACTTCCATTTCTGCTGCAACAGACTAACACAGCTACACCTCTGGAAACCATATAATAAAATTTAAGAAAGCCTACCTAAATTTTTTTCTTTCTTCCTCCTCCTTTGGGCAAAGGGGCCTGGAACCTGGTCTGTATTACCTACTACCAGGGGCCACATGAAAATCACACCTCTCGCAACATATTTGTAATTATATTTTACCTGTGTGCTGAATTTAATTGTAAGCTGTTCTGGAGTTAATCTTGGCCAGACTGTGAGTGAATGAATGACCCCATATTTAAAACTAAACATGCCTCAATACATCAAGTCCCTAGCCTCACTCTGTTGGGTGCCACAGAAGCATGGTAATAGTAACAGACACCTTTGGCCTAAGAGAAACAG